TCCAATTGAAGTCAATGGTGAAGAGAAATACAATGTTGCCAAAATCCTTGACTCCAAGCTGGACAGAAGGTATAAATGTTGTCCCCTTCGATATTATATTCAGTGGGCCAGTTATGAAGGTACCAAAGATGAATTCTCTTGGGTTGCTGCTGATGAATTACATGCTGATGAACTGGTACCGGCATTCCACGCTCACTACCCTCACAAACCTGGACCTTGATCTCAAAAATAATCACTTCCTTTTCCAAAATTCCTTTTCCCGATTCTGCTGCGCTCCGCTGAAGTTTACTTCGTGCATTTAGAGGGTAAACACGATGATAGCAAATTGAGTGTTTACTCTCGCTCTTTTATATTGCTTACTCTCCCTTTTACATTACTTATTCTCTCTTTCATACTGATTAACCTGGCTCATTCATGTGTTCTTACTTACACTAAAATCTACTTATACTTTGAACTAATTCATTCTTTCGCCGCTTCCCAGGCCATTTGCCTTCAGTTCAAAGATGCGCTAACATTTTTATATACAAATTCAAAAAAATATATCACAAAGCAAGAAGAGAATACAAGAAGAGGCCAGAAGGCCGAGGTCCAATGTCTGATTACTTTATACTACTCTACTTCCCTCTTCTTGCCCTTCTCGGAGGCCGCCGTCTTTGCCTTCTTCGGCGCCGGTGCCTGTTCTTCTTCCCCTTCTTCTTCCTCTACCTCCTCTTTGTAAGACCTGGGTCAAAATAGGTCTTAGGGTAGGTTTTGGTATGTGGAGGTTTATGTTGTAGCATGCTAGGAGCAGGCTGGAGCTTGAAGGGAGCTACAGGAACCACGACCGAGGACGGGAATGACCTAGTAGTGGCTGGAACGAAGGGATGGTGACCCTTGAGGGATTCCTAGGAGGTCCAGGGAGGTCCCTAAGGCGCAGGGAGGTTAAGGAAGAGTGCGGGACCGTACTATATTGCGTAGTAGGAGTTGTACTCGCTAGAACGTCAATATAGGATCGAGTAGGTCATATGTATAGATGGGTCTTGAGGTGGTAAGCTCCCGAGAAGGGATGTGCCAGGGAGGGTAGGTCCCTGGGGGCTAGGCTTGAGGATGGACGTCCTCGAGTGTGGGAGGTGGTAACGGAGAAGCAGTACGTAGTTCGACGTGAGGGGTAGCTTCGACATTACCTAGATTGAGGTCCTGAAGCCTATAGAATAGCTAGGGAGCTCGAGGAGGTTTGGGGAGGTTAGCTCGCCAAGGCGGTAGGCGTTGGGGAGCTTTAGTATTGTTCGAGGGAGCTCGGGAACTCACTCGGATTGCTTAGACGTAAAGTAAAAGTGTGTATTGGGTCGTATAGACGATCACAGAGACGATAGACAAGAGTTGAGAGAAACAGAGGTAATGAAACAGAGAGTAAAGAGAAATCCGTATGGTTAGCAGGTACAAAGGGACAGGGACTGGACCTATGCAAAAGGGTGTGTGTTCAAAATATACCAAGCTAGGGACGTTTATGCTACGATGGTGCTTATATAGGCGAAAGGAGTTGACAAGGAACCATTATAGTAAACGAGCATTCAATGGGGATGGTGTGAAGTGCGGAACCCATGAGGCTAAATTGATAAGGGATTGTCCGGCGGCATACACGAGTCGCGGAGCTGTCGCTTCAGATGGAGGTTAGCATTGGTCGGAAGGTTGGCTAGGGTTCCGTCATGGGATGGGAGGTTATTTGGGAGGTGGGAAGGAGCTGGTACGCGGTTCTGGGATGTCTAGGAGGTAACAAGGGGAGCTTTTTAGGGACAGGGCATGACACTCTTCCTCTTCTCCATCCTTCTCTTCTTCCTCTTCTTCGCTGTCCACGACTTTCTCCATTTCTTCGGCAGCTGCGAGGGGCCGGCCTCCGGCATTTTGGGCGGTGTTCCTCTCCGTCTGGCTGCATCTATCATAAGCCAATCCAACTTCTTGTTGAGATGCCTATGTTAGGTATTGGCCTTCACTTGGCCCTCATGAAGTTGCCAGTTATTGGCAGGTAATTGAGCCATCTGGCTCTCCAGGACAGCCAGCCGCTTGCCGGTTGGGTTAGCGCTAACCTCCTTCTTCACAATCAAGGGGCACCCCGAGTAGGAGCACTTGACCTTTGCGTCATGACAGGGTTTACAAATGATAGAGCTCCTCTTGCCAGCCTGCATCTGGCAAGAGATTTTTTTGGCCCTGCACTGTTCGCAGGGAGCCCTATCATCTTCGTCGTCCTCTTCCTTGTCACCGCTGTCGTCGGGATCGCCGCTGGTAGCCTGTAAAATAACGGTTAGCAAACAAAAGGGAAAGAAAGATTCCTAACGTACCTCCGCCTGTACCCTCTCCTTTCCTTTTCCCTTGACCCTCCTAATCTCCATTATTGGTCAACAAGGAGACACTGAGACCTCCCTTGGCGAGGTACCTCGCCGGTTACAGGCCGTGGCCGCCTCTGCCAGTCTCTGTCTCCTTTCCACCAACTCTCGTGCTGCTACTTCCACCTGTTTTTGCACCTCCTCGACAGCCTTCCAAGCTGCCTCTTCTTCAGCCTTCCGCTTCGCTGCTTCCGCCGCCTTTTTCTCTTTCACCCTTCATACCTTTTCTCTCGCCCTCCGCATGATCTTGTCTATGTCGTCCTCTTGGTCCTCTTCCTCGATGTCGACAGGACTGGTAGGGGACAGGGGTGTGGGGCGAGATGTTGAGGGACCGGCGCAAGGAGAAGAGGTATTAGTCATCATGGTAATTGTTCGACTAGCAGGCATTTTGTCGGGCTGAGAAGTTCTTCGAAGAAAAATTAGGCCCACAGCGGTAAAATCCTGGCCCTTTTTTTAGGGACAAAACAGCGCATGGACCAGATAAAAAATTTTCTTCAATTTGTGTCTGGTTTACGGGGAACCGGAAAATTTCTTGGATGACTAACAGTAATTCCCAATACCAACGGCTTTTGGAAAATTTTCTTTGATGACTGATGGAAAAGCCCGATACTGATGGCTTTCGAGGGCTCAAGCCTAAGAGGGGGATACTGTCAAGTCCATGCCTTGGGGCCCCATTCCGCCGCTTGGTATTCCAAGATCTACTGTTTATTATAATCTCATCTTTATTGTTCTTTCTCGCTACACATACCCTTTCATTCTAGTCTCTCCTTATTGTCTTTTACTCTACCCTGCAGGTACTACACGTATAGCTCCTAGTACTTAATCTAGCGCTCTGCACTGATGTGCCAATCTGTAAATATAAATACTGCCTGTACACTACTGTAGTTCCTCAGTTTAATTATGAACTTAGATTCCCTTTCCAACTTAGACCGCTTCTTAGTCTTCAGGCTCATCGCCTCAAAGTACTCTCTACTCTAACCTTAGGACTTATAAGTTCTCTGGTTCACTCCTCGTCACCGGCGATACCGCCGCTCCGACTTGGCTGCTCCTGGCTCCTCTTTCTCTACTCTTGATCTCCAGGGACCAGCGGCGTAACGGCGGTGTTGTTAATAACTTCACTACTGTCCCATTCGACCCTCTGCACTTAGACACCTTGTAGCCTCTGGTGTACATAATCTTAACACTCCCCAAGTACTGGGACCTTAGCTACAAAAGCTTTCCACATCATCTACTCTCGTATTGCTTCTCCATTGCAACCTCTACTACTTGGGGACACCAACCTCGACCCCTTCTCATCCTGGGCTCCCCACTTCTGATCAGGAGCTCCTACGCCTATCAGTCTTGTTCCTCATCAGCTCGAACTATCTGTATTGATGCTCCGAGTTCTTATAACTTACAGCCCTCATTTGTCCTAACATATTCAGGTTCCCAGCTCGCCATCTCACACCAGCTATTGTCCTAGAGACCTCCTCAAGGGTCACCCTCAATGTTCCCGTACTTTCACTGGGTCATTCCAGTCCTTGATCACAGTTCCCGTAGCTTCCTTTGAGCTCCAGCTTGCTCCTAGAATTCTACAACATAAATTACCAATACCAACTCTATCTACAAGACCAATTCTGACCCAGGTTTTGCAGACTCCTCTCCTATATGTCCACTGTCAATGACCTGCAGAGGCTGTTCTTTTCTTTTGATGTCCTTTTATCACACAGTGAAGATCAGTGATGATATTATCAGTGAAATCATTGAAACACACTATAGCTACTGTAGCCATTTCTGAGGTAATTTTCTTCTCAGTGGCCTTGATAGATTGTTCTCAATTGGACTGATCTTGAGGAACATGAAGTGATTGTGCTTGTGCTTGAGTGGTCTCAAATGCTTTGAGAAACAGAGATAGAAACAAGTTGAGGATGTATGACCTGCTGCTTTAGTGATGTTGCAAAGGGCATCTGTTTTGGTCAACTTTGTTTTTCAATTGTGCAACTTGGTCCTTGAGTTGAGTGATTTCATGTTTATATTGGGGTTGTAGCAATCATCAGTAGTATCAAAGTCCCACCAATAATTCACTCAAACTTTGGTTTCCAAAAGAAACTTAATACAGGAAACATTTTTTCATTCCCTGATTCAAAATTTTAAAGCTCTACAGACTACAACAGTAAACTGCATGAGATCCCAAATAATTGAAGTACTTTACACAATGCACTTGACCCAATCTTCACCATAAACACAATCTTTCAGTAAAAACTTGGTGAATCCCTTACTTGAAATGATGCACTGGGTTCTGGCTCTCCATAGAGTGTTGCGGAAGGGAAGTGGAACCCAAACAATACTATGTGGGATATGTGGGAGGAAGATCCAACCATACTCATTTATAGTCCAATGTAAATCTGGAACATGAGGTAACTTGCCATTATAAGGTATAATAGAGTGGTACCTGTGTACAGGGTCAGGCAATGGTTTAGTAGCATCTTTGAATCTCAAAGTTACTTCAATTTCCTTAGATGAATGTGTAGTTGAATAAAGCTGATGAATGTGGTCCCGCAGAACCCCTCCAGTCTCAGTGCCAGTCCCAGTATCCCAGATTCTCAAGGTCTTATCCTGAGAGCCAAAGAGAAGTCTGGTTCCATCAGGTGAAGATGCAACTGAGGTGACATTATGAGCATGGCTCTGCAGAGGCTCACTAAACTGAGTTCCAGTTCTGGCCTCCCAAATTCTCAATGTCTTATCATTAGATCCAGAGACAATTCTGGTTCCATCAGGTGAGAATGCCACTGAATTGACATTATGATCATGCCCCTGCAGAGGCTCACCAATCCGAGTTCCAGACCTAGCATCCCAAGTCCTCAATGTCTTATCATAAGAGCCAGAGACAATTCTGGTTCCATCAGGTGAAAATGCAACTGAGTCAACCCAATGAGTATGACCTTGCAAAGGCTCCCCAATCTGAGTCCCAGTCCTGACATCCCATATTCTCAATGTCTCATCATAAGAACCAGAGACAATTCTGGTTCCATCAGGTGAAAATGCAACTGAGTTAACCCAGTCAGTATGGCCTTGGAGAGGCTCACCAATTTGAGTTGTAGTCCTGGCATCCCAGATTCTCAATGTCCCATCATCAGAGCCAGAAACAATTCTGGTTCCATCAGGCGAAAATGCAACTGAGTTGACCCAGTCAGTATGGCCTTGCAGAGGCTCACCCAACTGAGTTCCAGTCCTGGCATCCCAAGTTCTCAATGTCTTATCCCATGAGCCAGACACAATTCTGGCTCCATCAGGTGAAAATGCAACTGAGTTGACATTCTGATCATGGCCCTGCAGAGGCTCACCAATCTGAGTTCCAGTTCTGGTATCCCAGATTCTCAATGTCTTATCATAAGAGCCAGACACAAGTCTGGTTCCATCAGGCGAAAATGCAACTGAGTTGACCCAGTCAGCATGGCCCTGCAGAGGTTCACCCAACTGAGTTCCAGTTCTGGCATCCCAGATTCTCAATGTCTCATCATTGGAACCAGAAACAATGCTGGTTCCATCAGGTGAAAATGCAACTGAGTTGACCCAGTCAGTATGGCCCTGCAGAGGCTCACCAAACTGAGTTCCAGACCTAGCATCCCAAGTTCTGACAGTATTATCATTACAAGCAGTACCTATTTTGTCTCCAATTGGTGAGTAATGCACACTGTTCACGCTTGCAGAGACATTTACAGTCACAGTGGTTTCTGGAAGCCAATCTATCACCCGGTTTATCAGTTTGATACCTCGCTGGAGTTGGGGTTTACAGCCAACATCATTTTCCCAGAATGGCATGATGCTCAGATACAAGTGTGGTGTCATTCCATAAACATCACCATTCATGAACTGTCTCATTAAGTTCTGAAGGTAGCCCACTATGCTTTGAATACTTGAGTAATCTGCATTGTCGTTGCTTGTTTTGAGTATTGCATCCAACATCTTACTGCATCTGGGCAATGATTTCAGTAAACTCATAGCCTCTAGCCAATATATCCCTTTTTCAATCAAAAACTCTTGTACTTTCTGAAACAATTGGTCTGTTTGACCAATCTCAAAATGGTCTGTCCAGAATTGACAGCAATAGTTGAGTGTCTCAGGAATTTTTTTGGAAACTTTGTCCTTGAATCCTGGCACATCATCATCCTTCATAAATGAAGAAGGCAGATTGCATATGTTGAAACACAAGCTTTCCATGATTTGTAAACATGAAAAGGTTAGACTCTCATGCTGAGTTCTTGCATTGTATTTGTATTTGCTGTCTTTGGAACTGGCGAAGAAATCATAGAATGATTTATGGAATATAATGATGGGTCCATCTGCTTCTGTCATGTAAAATACAGCATGGAGCCTATTAATCAAGTTTGAAACACTTTCAACTTCAGCATGTAACAACTCTGCAATTGTTTGGCATGTCAGTGGTTTTCCCACTGAGACAATTGTATGAATAATACTCAAGTCATCCTGCATCTCCTCATCCTGAAGCTTCTCTGTGGCCATATCTAGTATTTCAACATAGAGTGCATTCAAATCCTTCAGATTTGCTGCATTTTCTATGCAACCAAGCAGCCTTTTTCTTTTTCTTGCAATTCCATCTGCCTCCTTCACAAATCTAACCACAGTAGCTGCATAAATAAACAGCTGTTGTGATAACTTTGTGAGTATACACAGTTGCTCTTCTGTAGGAGATATGTGCTGAAGCTCTTTTTGGAGATAGACAGATATGTCCTTCTGAACTATATCTTCTTCAACATTATGCAGAATAAATTCTTTCATCCCTGAAGCAGAGTAGGCTTTTAGCTCAGCCTGAATCTTTGGCTCAGGCCGACTTGTTATGAAGAACTTCAATCCCTGCAACTCCTTTTTGCTGATTGCTGAAACAAGTGGTTGCAATACTTTTGCAATATCCTGACACTCATCAAGAGCATCTAGAACAAGGACAGGATGGAAGCTTCCCATTTGTGCAGCTTTCATGACTGCTTTCCATGGCTCAATAAGAAGCTTTCCAATTTGAACCTCTGGCCTTTTGGTAACAATATCGGGTTCTTGAGCCAAAATTTCTTTCACAGACATGGCAAATGTCCGGGAGAACCGCACAAGTTGGTAGGAAAGAGTTGGGATAATAAGCCGATAATTGTTGCACTCGGGTATTTGGCGAGAACAAAAGAAGGTTGCTGCAAGCACCTTCCTTCCTTTCAGAATTTCACAGACAGAGACTGCAATGGTGCTTTTCCCTGTACCAGCCAGGCCAAACATCCAGTAACCTGGTTCACTACTGGCATCCATTGCCCAGGTTTCAATTTCAGAAAGGATGTGTTTCCTTGTCTGTGCATAGCATGGGCTTCGATCCACAATATTACTATCATGAAAAGCTCCAGATGAATGCTTCATGCTTTGCAAAACAAATTCCTTCATGATATTAAAAAATCAACACACATTTTTGACATTCAAAAGAAACATACTCTCAAAATTATTGCTGTGTTTCTTTCAATACTAAACAGCAGCTTCATCTATGGGGAAACAATAAGTTGCTGAAGAATGCATTCTATAACCATGAGGCTGTACCTTGCATTCCTCATATGCATCTTGAATTTCTTTCTGGAAGCCCTCAATCTTTTGGCTGTTTTTATCCATTTGAAGCTTCTGTATAGGTCCCACATCTTGACTAACAATGACCTTCTTGCAAATCCTTTCCAGATCACTGTAAGACATTATCAGTGAAAATTTGTACATCCTGTAATGAGATATTTACTCAGCCAAGCCCTGGATAAGTGGCTCCCCTGATGGTTCCAGTCCTTCTTTTTGCAGAATGCTTTGCAAGAACTTGGTGCGGGAGGTTAAATCATTCGCCAAAGCTTTGAGTTTCTCAGTATTCCCAGATATTGTCTGTGTGTTTTGGTAATTATATCACAAAACATATGGTGGTAAGGGTTACCACTGACTTGATAAATTTCAAAACATTTAAACACACTTCCAACCACTGCCTGCAAAGGGGGTAATACTACTGATGCTTCCTTGAATAATCCCAGAAGAGGACCAAGTATTCCCAATGCAACAGACTGAGCCTGGGCCACTGAACTGTCTTCCATAGATTCAGTCCTAGCAACAGGGATATCCTCTGATGCAGTACCAGGTGAAGGTGATACTGTATGAGAAGTAGGACTTGATTTTCCCTTTCTGAACATATTCTTCATGTTTCTTTTGAACTTACGCATATTGAGCTGAGGGAGGTAGGAATGAACTTGGAATATATAATTCCCGGTTCCTTTTATACAGCCTACCGACGCTAAGGTATATATATATTTGACGTGGTTGTTGGCAGCCTGCATGAATGATCAAGGCAAACATGTGGTACCAACATGTTGTCACGGGGTATTTCAGGCAGACTGGAAAGTGGTAACGCATCTACTGATACCCAGAATACATCTTGTGATGGATAGATCGAACTTTGAAGTAAGGATGTGCCGCGTGGAAAGATCATTGGCCAATCTTGCATTGCAAATATGTAATGTGCAGTTCATATTGATCATCATTGCTTCGTAAATAGGTGCTCAACAGTGCAGTTCGTTATCACAGATAATGAGTAGGAGAAGTTATGTAGTCAAGCAGAGTAATTAGACCAGAGTCCCATGTCTTAACCTAACCTGCATCTATACAGACCTCTCCATACAGTCATTTACTGTTCAATGAGACACTGTCAGTCAAATATACAAACATCTTCTATGGCCTCAATTTTTGGAGTAAGCCTCCGACCTTTCTTCACCAATTGAATATACATGAATTGCACTTAGGATACAAGTTCGAAGGTGCAATGACATTCTTTCCCTGTGCATTGCGAGTTGTGCAAGATTTTGGGATGTATATCCCCTTCTAACAAAGGTTAGTTGATATCTCAAAATATTCACTCTAAACCCGAACATCACACCCAACCCTGAACCGATATCTCTACTGAGATTACCCAACCCAGTACCGATTCCTCCAAGACCACTGCTACTGTTCATGGTACTATGACTAGATGAATTTGGATCTGGGGTACCAGAGGTTCTCGGAGTAGGCAAATTCATCCGAGCTCGCGGATGATGTATTATGCTGGAAGCACCTGGTGTCGCAATACCACCACCACCTTTCCTCCTCCCAACACGCACATATGCCTCACCCAAGATCTGTAACGTCGCAGCGGAAAACACCTTCCTCCAAACAATCGATTCCTCTTCCTCCAAAACCCTATCACACACCTCCCTCAACGCCGACTCAACCGCTAACTCCTCATCCTTGAACAGTGCCTGTAGCCCTTTCCCTGCAGGCTGTTCTTCGAGTTTCTGACGCTCGGCAGGTGAGAGGCTTCCGCTTTTCCGGCAGCCTCAATATGGATTTGAGGTAAAGGGTGGTACGGAGGGTTGATACGCACGCTGTGGAGATATTAATCGACGATTATATATAAGATACGAGAGGGATAAGGGAGGAAGCAAGGAAAAAGAGAACGTACATTTCATTAAATATTTGCCTTGTACGATATGTAACCAGCCACCGAGACCGAGAGAGGATTAGTTGGGTGCGAGGAATGGCTTCGCTTTGGCGAGGTAGTCGAACGCGCTTTCCATACCATTGACCATTCTCGTTTGGCTTTGATCGCTTTCTTTCCACATAAAAGAAATAATGATTTCAACCCGGATAGTATCAACTTCCGCTGGCATACGCCAAATCGCGGACGCTAGTCAGGCCGATCTCGTCCATATATTCACCACTATTTTGGTCCAGAACGGGATCGACGATGCAGAGCGATGCAGCTACTGCGGTGCTTACCGTTGTTCCCATTGCAGCTCCAGCTCTTATCGGTACATGGTCTACTAGTGCGCCCGCACAGGGATTAGGTTTAGTTTGGCAAGGGATATGAAGGCGGCGTTTCAGGAGGCTGGCCGTGAATACCGTGCTGATGAATTTTTCATTTTCAGATCGGTGTTGCCTGATCGCTAATGGTGCATATACCACCATACTCCTGTCTGTTCAATGAACACTGACTTAGTAACAACATCCTTTACCATGTAACTTTTCTACCTACTCAGCTACTGCGACTGAGAAACGGTTGCTTAGCGAAAGAAATGAATCTTGCTGCATTAAAACATGATTATCATTGCTTGAAAACAATTGCAGTGGTATATATGGATAAGTATTGCGTTGATAAAGTAAAAGAGATTGACGAAACCTCGATGAAATCTAGTTCTTCTTTGCGCTCTTGGGAACACGACCGAACCAATATAGAAATAAGGCAGCGCACACGTTGAACGCTACATAAGCCCACATTAAGCCGAAATTGCGCCAACGATGGTCGTAGAAACTGTTGACCTGTGACAAGAAGGCATTGGTGTCCGTGATGGCGCAGAATTCGCACTGCGACGTGGCATTCACGTCGGAGAGGGACCCCCCAGCAATAGACATGTATGCGGAGAGATACTGTCCACAGGTTTGTCCACTCGGGGGATCAAACACGGAGACTTCAACAGAGGAACAGAACGCCGGTGCGTTGGCGAGACTGACGGAAAGCATCGCATCGACCAAGTATGTGAATGGTGATACACGGTACATGAATATCCAGAAGCCAGGTAGTTTTGAAGGCGAGACAAGGACACTGCAGAGCATCGTCAAATTAACAATGTGAAACACAATATGCAGATTCCAGAAAGATGACTTACCCGCAGAATAGGATGGTTAGAGAGAACAGCAACGTTGCTATGTTACCACCATTTTCAGCTACGTCGACAGAAGCAATGATCATGTGTGTAAACGTAGATGTGAACATTAGGAAGGACCAGATAAGGAGGAACAAGAGGGCTCCGCGCTCAGTAACCGCTCCGGTGGGCTCTGCGTTACGATATAGCCCGATAGGGTAGTACCAGCCGAAGAAGATGAAGACAGACATTAGAGTGTTCCAGGGAAGCTCGGCACAGATATTTGCAAGCATGAATGCTACCCAAGAGTAAGTCTTCGAGGGACGTTCGCGAACTTCATAAAGAGAGCGTTGAGTGACAAAATGAGGCATGATCTGATTGACCAAGTTTCCAAAGATCGTCATGAGCATGAAGACAGAGAACATCTGGTTTTGGAGACCTTGGAGCGTGTTGTCCGCTTTGTAGAATGTGAAGCCAATGAAAAGGGACTGCAAAGCAAGTTAGGGGGCAATGCACGACAGTGGGACTTTCGAAAATACTCACAGTAGTAACAGAAAGGAATGTTTTTGAGTAGATATAACTGGGTGTGCGATACAGCTGTTGGAAAACCCTATACAAGCAAAGTTGAAACTGTTTTTGGAACGAGGCAGAAAATGCGCTGTAATCTTTGGATTTGCGTTTTTCCTGGACACTCGGTTGGGGACGGGATTGAGAAAGCTCCCGTTTTTTGGAGAGCTCTTTCTTCATAGCGAGATAATCGTCGCTTTGTCGCCAAGCATCAGCATAATCTCGGTCAGCAACAGCACCTGGGGCAGCACCGATGACTTGAAGCATCCATTCCGCAGGGTTAGCATCTGGTGGACAAGGACTGGCACCTTGACGCTCGAAGTAGGATGTCAGTGTTTTCGAGTTCTCGCCGATGTCACCGAAGTATACAGTGCGGCCACCTTTGGCTAAGAACAAGAGTCGGTCGAATTCTTGGAAGAGAAGGGCAGAGGGTTGGTGGATGGTACATAGGATTGCTTGGCCATTGTTAGCCAAATCCCGAAGCAGTGAACATATAGACCATGCCGTTTGACTATCAAGACCTGAAGTAGGCTCGTCCAGGAATAAAAGAAGCTTGGGTTTCGCAGCGAGCTCCACGCCAATAGTCAGTCGTTTACGCTGTTCGACATTGAGCCCTGGATCATCATCAAAGCGTTAGGTCCACATAATCAAGTATTCGAAGCCGCTTCACGCACCTTCACCAGGTACACCGACGACGGCATCGGCATACTTTTCCATACCTAGTAAACGGATGACTTCAGAGCAATAAGCGACCTTTTCAGCATCTGGGACATCTTGAGGTTGCCTGAGACGAGCACTGAAAATAAGGGCCTCGCGAACTGTCGAAGTCTGAAGATGCAAGTCCTGCTGTTGTACGTATCCCGTCTTCCGTTGAAACGATTCGTCTCGCTGTTGTCCATCAACGAACATATTTCCTGTAACTACGCCCATTGTCACTCGACTGGCCAGAGTGTCCAGGAGCGTAGTCTTCCCAGCACCTGACGCCCCCTAGAGTAGAGAAATGAGTAAGAATGTGACATTAAAGCACAAAGAAAAATTTACCATTAGCGCGGTCAAAGTCCCCGGCTCAACCCATCCGTCTACATTATCCAAAAGACGACGTCCTTCACCTTTGATCTTGATATCGTAGCAAACATCTTCCCAATGGAATATCGAGGTTTGCTTTTGAAGCCCAGAGACCGCGCTGGCCCTCTTCACCTTCTCATCAACATCAACGACCAATTGTTGTACAGGTTGAGCAAATTCTTTGTCGTCAGAAGATTTGGATTCCTGGACAGGTATATGACCACGACGGAACACTAGGACTTCCCCCTTGCTCTTCGCAGCCGTGATGTATTCCGTTGCAACAAGGGCAGTGGCCAAGAAGAATACCATGAACGCGAAAATGATGCCCAGATTCCTGGTGAAAGCATGAATTACGATGGTCAAAGTTATGAATGCATTCAACTTTACCTCCACATATGCGAATGATAGTAATTGAAACTGGCAGCAAGATACGATGCGCCTTCGACGACATTGGAACCTGCCTCTGCTCCTGTTGTAGCACAAATACGCTCGGGACCAGTGATATCGGCGTACCCCGGTCCACTTGGTATAAAAGTGATACAAGGGAACTCGCGTCCAAAGAATTCGTTCAGCATGAGGCTTTCGAATGCATACGCAATAGGATTAATGTAATTTATCCATCTGAACCATGGATGCATATCAGAAATGGGGATAGTAAATCCTGTGTAGATGATAAGACCGAGCATGATGATTGCAGCGGGTGCCATGGCTTGAGAGATTGTTCGGGACGTTGCACCAATTGTACGGAAGATCATTGACATTGTAAGCGTGCAAGCGAAGGAAAAGAGCAAGAAAATAAAGAAATGAGCTGGGGTCCGCCGTAAATTGGTCATAAAGTAGAGAACCAGGTTGAACGAGATACTGGGAGGGATTTCGCATACCACAAGTTAGGTCAAACGGTGTCGAAGATCAATGAAAACTCACGCAGTTAGAATTTTAGCGGGAAGGTCACAAATCATAGCTGACACGGCTTCAACGAACGGATGATAAAGTGCCATTCGGGAATGCTTTTCTACAATGGGTCGTTGTTCGTAAAGTGTGAGGATCTGAAATATAAAGGGTCAGCCCGTCAGAATAATGACCGATATAATGAAGAACATTATACACACCTCTAGAACACTGCTGAAAGCGTTCATCAATATCGCGTAGAAGAGGAGAGCACCGCGAGAGTAGAAACTGCTGGTATCGGCTGGGAGGTTGAAAAATATGCTCGATAAGATTAAGCTAAAGAAAAAGTTCCCCAAGACGGAAGTGAAGAAGAGGGACATGTCGCCTCTGAGCCGTTGGAATCCTCGCGACAAGCAAAGTTGGATTTGCATAGGCACCGAGAGTGTGTAAGGTGATTTTGAACCACTAGAATAGAATTAATATTTTTTGAGTATTCATTTTCTGCTGGTGTATATAGAAAATGTGAACATACAGGCCTTTGGCTTGGACACTCTTCCTAGATTGCCTAAATTTGTCTACATGCGATCCACCTACAGGAAACTCATTATTGAATTCCTCTATTTCTTGCAAAAGGTGTCTTCGTTCGGCGCTCTCTTTCCACATTCGGGCGAATTCGTCTGGGGTATGTGGGACACGCGACTCGAAACCCGGACGCGCCTGTCGTTCTGCTGGATTCGTTAAGGACTACCGAAGAAGGTGAATGAATAACAAATCTATTACAGAATCATAATTGGACCTACTGTTAAGAAATCTGCAGTTGTTTGACGGTCAGGGCATTGGAAACCCATATCGACGAAGAATTTCTTTGCGTCCTCCGTTCGTCCAAAATATATCTGTCTACCCTCATAAAGCACCGTAACCTTGTCGAAGATCTGTCCAACATATTGAGAATAAATTGCAGGAGAGAAAGCAATGCACATACATCATAGATACTCTGAGAGGCCTGATATATCGCTATCACCGCCGTCGAACCCATGTATTTCGCAGACATATTTACAGTCTTGACAAATTCCAACGCAGTAGCACTGTCCAAACCTCGAGTACTGTTGTCCCAGCATTGAAGTGGAGCTCCGCTCAAAGCAACTTCCGCAATACTAACACGTTTCCTCTCGCCACCACTGACACCACGGATGAACTCGTTCCCTACTCGGGTGTTGATGGTATGGGTGAGACCGAATACTGCCATGACGACGTCCCTCATGTGCTCAGCCCACTGTTCACGGGTAACACCGGGGAGACGAGCACGGGGAGTACGAGCTCTAGCTGCGAATGAGAGTGTTTGGCCGACAGTAAGGTTGGGAAAGTGGACATCGGTTTCTGCATTATAGACGACTTCGCCACGGAAGTCCTTGTGCATCGTCTCCCAAGGTATGCCTAATAATGTAATGATGAGAGTCTTGGTAGCAGCCATTTTTGGATCCCATACGCACCTTGATAATTGAGTTTGGCTTCATTACCGACATAAAATCCATGAGTTTCACCAGAAATTGTCTTCAGCAGCGTGGTACAGCCACTAAGTAGATCAGAATTAGTATATATGATGGTGATTTGGACCGTTCACAAGCACTTACCTCCCTGGAGGACCAAGGACCACAAGCATTTCTCCTTGTCTCACAACACCTTCAAAGTCTCTCAGAATATCCACTCTCTTGCCCTTCCTTCCGAACAATCCAGCAACCATACTGGGAATATCAAGCAAGACATTCCCTACCGTCTTCTGGTGGTCAGCGGCTGAGCCATAGCCATGGACGTTCAAGTTGGTAAAACTAATACCGGCTGTCCGTGTTGGGTAACGCTCTGGATCACGCGAGGTAATAGCGAGAATGGAATGAATCCATTTCTTATAGTCGAATTTACCAGATAGAGGATTCAAGGAGTCGTCTGTGGTTCCGAGGAATGGATTGTGATCATCCGCATGGACATTCTTCATGCTCATCTTGGTAACAGTTCGAGCTAATTGGGCGACATGGTCAGCCTGAGAGCCTTCAAGAGTGGCCGCATCTGCATGGGAGTTGTCTGAAGAGGCGTTTGAATGCCCTAGGGCCCATTTTTCGGACGCCATGGGGGGCAAAGGGGAAGGCGGGGGGTGAGCTGTGTGAGGGCAAGATGACAGGACGACAGTAAAATATCATATCTGTGGTTATGTATTTAATAAAAGACCAAGGCACGGAGACTTCCCCCGCTGACGGAGGGAAAATGACCACGAATTGACTTGTTGCGGGCCGGGAAAATCTAAATCCAGATTCTATCGTACGTTTTGATGGAATTTACCAGGGTTCTACACTGGTTCTACAGGTTTCTACCGCATATCGGACCCGCAAAGGTGGTAGTCTACCGGCAACGATATGGGAAGGCAGGTGGTAAGGTGACTTGTGTCGATTATATCTAATGAATACCACTAGGGAGCATTGAGTCAATAATATTGTATGATTGTCTTTGGCTGAAATTCTTTCCTAGAGGTCTGCACGTATGACTGAGGCGAAGTCAGTCAATCCAACCGGGTCCGATCTACTTCCTCCAAGTAAGTATGTACCTTCCAGATATTTCAACTGTAAAACCGGTACAAATGGGCCACGCGTCTTACACATGGTCTTAAAGTCTATGCTTAGTTGCTCTTTCAATCTGGTCCTAACGATACTTTGAATTATGAGTGTATTCATCCACAGCAGATATATGTTTCTCGAGTCATCCGTGAACAACGGGGTGATCGAGCTGCGACGTCGAAGGGGGGATGTAATCCTGATGTACCATTGTAGAGTCATCAGCCCCCGATCGAAAGGAAGACAAGGGAGTATCGGAAGAGCTGCTAGCTGCGGCTACAATGGGAGCAAGAGTAAGCACCGCAGTAGATGCATCGTCGATCCCGTTCTGGACCAAAATAGTGTTGAGTATCTGGACGAGATTAACCTGACTAGCGTCCGCGATGTGGCGTATGCCAGCGGAAGTTGACCCTACTCGGGTTGAAATCATTATCACTTTTATATGGAAAGAAAGCGATCAAAGACAAACGAGAATGGTCAAAGGGGATGATCGGGTCACATTCACCATCTCAAGATATTAATTGCCCTTCCCCAATCAAAATCACAGTAAGTTCTCTGACATCTGTTCTATAACTGATCGTCAGACTCGCAAAGAACGAAAAGAGAGGAAGACTTCAACTCACAGAGACGCGTATAAACTCTCTCTAGTAATGGCAGTATGGAGGCACCACCACGACGAAAAACCCTCTGACCCGCACGCCTCCGAGCACTTTCAATCCATATCCATCGCATAACAGACACTCTCTGTCTCCGCCCTCCGCTTAAAGTACAACGAATTCGGCGCTAGGGAAAGCGGGTCGACCCGGAAGAAGTATTTGAGAAGATTTTCGGTGGGGAGAGATTCGTGGGTGTTATAGGACATATTAGTTTGGCGAGGCGGCGTTTCAGGGGGCTGAGGAGGAGGCATGGAGTGAGGAAGGGAAGGGAAACCTGTGATTAGTGAGGAGGAAAAAGCAAACAAGGAGGAGAGGACTGGGAAAAAGGCTCGTTTGTTCTTCTTTTCTTATCTATCTCCCTCGTATTTCCTTTTCCCCCCGTATACCCAATATCTAATCACTAATCCGTCTCACAGCATATCAACCCTCCGTGCTGCCCTTGACCCCAAATCCATCTTCGACCAAATTCAGGCAACCGGAAACCTCACACCTGCCGAGCGTCAGAAATGGGAAGAACAGAACAGGCTGCGGGGAAGGGGTTACAGGCACTGTTTAAGTATGCGAAGTTAGCGGTTGAGGAGGTGTTGAGGGAGGTGTGTGATATGGTTTTGGAGTTAGATGAAGATACGAGTGGTATTGGGAGGGAAAAGGCTGTGTTGACGGCTGTGGCGTTACAGACTTTGGGTAAGGCATATGTGCGTGTTGGGACGAGGAAAGAACAAATAGATGCTTCATCGACATCAACTGTGTGACAACAGGCGCTTTCAGGCACGACACATCATCCGCAAGGCTCTCGGACGAATTCGCCTACTCCCAGAACCTCCAGTACCCCAGATCCGAATTCATCTAATCACAGTACCACTAACAGTAAGAGCAGCAGCATTGGTCTTGGAGGAATCGGTACTGGGTTGGGCAATCTCGGAAGAGATATCGGTCCGGGGTTGGGTGGGATGGTTGGGTTTCGTGCTTCTTTCACTACCACTACTTCCACTACTTCCGCTCCCAATCCCAATTCCCATCATAGTTCCAGCCTCATTGCAATTGGATCAAGCCAGGCATTTGGTGTAGGTGTAGGTGGATGTAGCAGTAATCCAGGAGGTCAAGGGAGTCAATGCGCGCAAGGAGGTCAGGGCAGTTAAGCATTCAATGGTCCTGAGTATGTCAAAGTTGATACGAAGACTAGTCGTCGTCCGAGAGCTACAGTTGGGGACAATCGAAGTCGACACGCCGAACTTTGAAACTTTACTTCCATCTCCTGCGAATTTCTCACGGTTTAAAACCGTAAGGACGCATCTAAGAGAGATAAATAGATAGATACGCGGCTCCGTCGAAGAGAGAGTATTCAACTCAAGTAGTAGGCAACAGAAAGCCGCACAACCCAACTCCAGAACATTGCGCGCCTCACCAACTCTAGCGACGAACGCCTCCTTCCCTTCTCCACACCACAATGGCGAAGGGTGGGATCAGACTTTGGAAACCGACTCCGCTTTATCCCACCACCACCTAAAGGGAAAGAGGAAGACAAGAAGAAGAGAATGCACAAACAAGTCCAAGAACACAAAACAAAGCTAAGTATCCTTCAATCACATTCAAAAAACCTGTGTATATATACAGATGGGTCTTTGAAACCCATCCGCCGTATACGGAGAGCATGTGCGGGACTAGTGGCCTATCAGAATAATATAGAAATGTTCAGCCGAAGCATTGGGCTGGGCTTTCATGCAGGAGCATATGATGGGGAGATTGTTGCACTCAGCTATGCTGCGGGCCTTGCAGCAAATATGTCCTCCCAAGATGACTCTATCACTCACTGGCAATTCTTCACAGATAGCGCTTCAAGCATCGACTCAATATTCGACACCTCTCCCAAGCCAGGCCAAGTGTATTGCTCTAACTTCTACCGAAAAGTAGTGGAGTTTCTGGACTCTGACCCACTACATTCAGTTGAAGTGGCATGGGTGCCGAGCCACATAGGTATAATCGGCAATGAACGTGCTGACTTCCTAGCCAAAATGGGAACAGAACGGAAAAATGAGGCAATGTGGGGGAGGTCATGATCAAATGCTCTGCAGTTAAATAAGGTGCAGGCAGAGAGAGAATGGAAGAAGAAATGGGAATCACGGTCAACCTATGGGCGTTTCGCAATTGCCAACCAGCTCCCACCCTCCCTAAAACCAACAAAGCGGCTGAAGGAAACACCAAGGGAAGTGTTCGGATGACTAACACAATGTCGGACAGGCCATGCCTTCCTAGGCAAATACTATGCTCAGTTTGTACCTGGTGAGAACATTAACTGCCCTTGTGGCGAAGATCTGCAGACCCGCAAACACATATTACGTGCCTGCCCTCGATATGACAACTTTCGGCACATACTCAGGAAAGCATTGGATGATATCTGCTTGAAAGAGATACTTGGAACGGAGGAAGGAATTGAGGCCCTCACAGAGTTCCTGGAAGAAAGTGGGGCATTCACTAAAACAGGAAAACAGCGCCCAATCACTGAAGCACCAACGTACACACCACTGGGCATCGGGGAGGAACTTGAAGTCATGTTCCATGGCCCAACCGGGGAAGAAATGACTCCGGAAGCTGATTGGAGGGAGGAGGTCATAGACTCCGACAACTCCGATACCAAGATATAACAAACACAACCTATACCATACCACCACCTACTAGCCGAAACACAAAACCCGAGACCGTTGGTGCGGCAAGCTCACAACTTGCTAGCGTGGGTTTTGGCTTTCCTGTTGCAGGAGATGTAACAGGTTAGCTGCCCAAGTCCAGCAAGAGCCAGATAGGCCACAGAGCAGATACGCCTGCAATGTGGACTTGGTTTTCCCTAACGGTTATTCTCCTTACACGGGCAGAGTGTGAAAACTTTCCTTTTCCTTTATCAGGCCATTTTGCTGGCTGAACACTACTTTATACACTACAAATACATACCGAACAACCCTACGACCCACAGCTCTACCACCACGCAGGGACCCAATCAAGGTGTACCCATATCAGAAGAATGGAGAAAGGCAACAGACAAGGATATTACTTATTTGTTTCCGTGACTCCCCGCGCCTTAGTACCTAGACTTACTTACTTGCGGTTAATGAAGAGTTTAAAAAATAAATAAAAAAGTAGTAGGCAACAAGCTTTAGAACCTGTGCCTATGCCACGGTGGCTCGCAAAGCTCGCACCGCACTCCAGCCGGGTTCATGGCTTGTTGGCGGCAAGCCCCCAAACCCCTATTTGTCACTTGCTTTGCTCCTCCACAGGATTTGGACTTGTGCACTACAATGCAGGCTTTAGGCTCATATATGGCAGTATAACCACCATCATCTCTCCGGCGCTTAACAGTTTTTCGTCATCCTCGCCTCCTCAAAGCACTGTACACTTGTATTACTTTATATCATACTTGTCTACTGTACGCTACCCACCTACAAGGCAGCACCTGACTTCAGCAGCTCAACCGGTTTCAAGAAAGTCCCTCGATATCCCCTCCTCGCTTTCGCTCTGAAAATCAATCTACCTCTCCCGACTCTACCTCATAACTCCCTTTAACCTCTCAATGCAGTCCACTACCCCTCGCAGAAATCCCCCTCCTCCGCAGTGTTAGCCTCTTGTCGATGGGTGACATTAGCTGGCTGGAGAACCCCTTGGGCCCCTATTACCTTGGGGATTCCTTCGAAATCGACGACACTGATGGAGTCAGCCTTGGCTCCCCCTCAAGTACAGGCGAACCTCTGTGTGACGAGGCCCTCAGTTCTGAACTCATCCCTAATGACCAAGTCGACATCGGAGTCAGCGATGCCCAACCTCCTCCCACTGTCCCGAGCCAGCACTCTCTCGGACCTGCCTCTACACGAGAACAGCAGCTCAGGTCATTTATCTCTTTGCGCCCTAAATCCAGCTCCCAACCTGCAATCATTTGCCTCAACAATGCCAACGGAGTGATTCACTTTCAAAACGCTGGACTCTCTTCCCACCCCCCTCTTCTAAGCCCGTCATCATCTCGTGCATTCTCCTCTCAATCCCATGACGGTTTCGCAGCTGCAGGCGGCCTTGTGGTGTCTAAACCAGCTGCAAAGGGGGCACCCTCCTTGAAGTTACCATCTAAACCACTGGAACGCCCAGCTGGCCAAGACGGTTGTTTCACCTCTGCGCAGAAAGGGAAGAAAAGGGTGCCGGCGACCGTTCAGAGAGAATCGTCGTTCCCCGACCTTCTGTATCCCCCCGATTTCAAGCTGGACAAACATCCTCCCAAAGAAAAGGCTGGGGATCGAGACCTTTGGATGGAATGGAACTTCATCCACTTACACCAGCTACTGACCCTAGACCAATCCACGTTGACTCAACTTTTGACAGCACTGAACAAACTTCAATCAGATTTCACCATGTTCCTCAATGATTTCAACCACAACTTGCAACCCTCGCTCACACTTCTCCCATCTCCCTCTGCCTCACCTCCCTCCCTCTCTACCCTTACACCTGAGCCCTTGGGTTCTACTTCCGACTTCATGGCCCTAACTGGAACCTGCCCCGACCTTCTCTCTCGCATCACCGACGGCCCATCCCTCCCAGTCCCTGCTATCCACAAATGCGCACGTTCTGAGCACAAACCCACAGTGCGCTCTCCCTCCAAGGTTCCTCGCATCTCCTCACAACATCACTCTGGCCATTCTCCCTCTGCTATCTTGCTGGCACCGGCTCGGTGGGCTCTCCCGACCTCATCTGCCGCTATCATCGCCATGATTGGTCACTGTCAACCTTTCTTTGCTGCACGTGGAGCCTCCCTTCCACTACCGGACCTAGCGGAACATTTGGATGCAAATGAGGATGGTTCGTACGTCGTACGCCTGTCCTTCTCTGACACATCCCTCAACACCTTCATGTGAACATGGAAAACTCATCAACCTAATATCCCGGAGATATTTGATGTCTCCATAACCCGCAGCAGTGTTTATTGACGTTTATTTCAGAAGAGAGTATCGTTCGTTAGATCAGCCCATCCCTCTCCATATCCATCATCCTCCCCTCCTACTTCACACACTCTTAATCCTGTACCTTTACATACACCTAATGATGATCCTTGTACTGCTCGTACCACTCCCCCCTTGACTACACACCACCCTCACCTCAAAATTATGAGCTGGAACATAAATGGTCGCTATCTACTCAACTTCCTCTCCTCTGAATTCCTCAACCTCTTCAAATCAGCTGATGTTATCCTTTTACAAGAAACCCGTCTCCAGTCAGAGACTTGCATGAAAACCCCACCAGGCTTCACATCTTTTGTCCGTAACCGCCGCCATCTTGATAATGACCTTGAGAACCCGTGGGGTGGTGTTGCTACTCTTGTCCGCAACAACCTACACTGCCGCCTTCATCAGGACCTCTCGAGTCCTGACTTACTTGTCGTTGATGTGAATGGCACACTAATCCGTAATGTATACATCCCTCCTGAGTCCTCACGCACTAACTGACGTGACTGGTCTGACAATGATCCCTGGGATGCATTTGTCGAAAACACACAAGTTCTCATGTAACGCAATACACCGTCCATTATGGGAGGTGACATTAATGCCTGAATCGGAGAATTATTACCTCACTCCGGACACCCGGATCGAGTATCCTCCGATTTAACCGTGTCAACACGAGGCAGACTTCTCCTCGCTCTTTGCAATGACCACCAGCTCACAATTCTCAACGGCTGCTCCACGGTGTCTGGTACTCATTCTTCCTCCACATCCTTCCAACACCGTCGCGATTGCCAGGGTCTCCCCATTACCTTAACTACAGTAATAGACTACTTCATAATTACTCCATTTCTCCTCCCTTTTGTGTCCGACCTTAATGTGAGCCCCAAAACAAAATGGTCTGACCATTCCCCAACCACCCTCAACATTATTGCCCCGGGTACCTCTTCAATGCAAGACTCTATCAGAGCACGCCCTCACAGACCCGTGATCCACCTCCCATTACTCACTGACACTGACTTTCTCCAGGACAGGATCCTCCACTCTGAACCTCGCTCTCACGTCTCTCAACTGCTCAGACTATATGGCCATGCCTCGCATACGTTACTCCCTTTCCCCCCCCTCAAAATTTACACAGATGGCTCATGCTGCAACATGGGTCAACCGCATGCCCATTCCGGGTCTGGCGTTTTCTTTGGCAACCCATCCCATCCACTGAACACCGCCGCACGTGTCACCGGGAAGCAGACCAACAACCACGGGGAACTCGTCGCTGTCCTCATTGCGCTCCAAAAATCCCACTCGAAATGCCGCGTCGAAATCTTCTCGGACTCGGAATACGCTATCTGTTCTATCGTCTACCATGCACCAAAAGAAGCCCAATCTAATTGGACCTGCACTAATGGGGACATCCTGCATGCCATCAGCCTCTGGTTGGCCTCGAGGGAAGCACCTGTCATATTCCACCATGTTCATGGTCACTCAAACAACGCTCACAACAACGCTGCAGATTGTAAGACCTGGGTCAGAATAGGTCTTAGGGTAGATTTTGGTATATGAAGGTTTATGTTGTAGCGTGCTAGGAGCAGGCTGGAGCTCGAAGGGAGCTACGGGAACCGCGACCGAGGACGGGAATGACTTAGTAGTGGCTGGAAGACGAGATGATGACCCTTGAGGGTGTTCCTAGGAGGTCCAGGGAGGTTAAGTAAGAGTGCGGGACCCCGTACGATATTGCGTAGTAGGAGTTGTACTCGCTAGAACGTCAATATAGGATCAAGTAGGTCGTAGATGTGAATGGGTCTCAAGAGTGTAAGCTCCCGAGAAGGTATATGCCAGGGAGGGTAGGTCCCTGGGGACTGGGCTTGAGGATGGACGTCCTCGAGTGTGGGAGGTGGTAACGGAGAAGCGATACGTAGTTCGACGTGAGGGGTAGCTTCGACGTTACTTAGATCGAGGTCCCGAAGCTTACGAAGTAGCTAGGGAGCTCTGGGAGGTTTGGGGAAGGATAGCTCACCAAAGCGGGTAGGCGTTGGGGAGCTTTAGTAATGTTCGAGGGAGCTCGGAGACTCACTCGGAAGGCTTAGACTTGAAGTGAAAGCGTATATTCGATCGTATAGACGATCAGAGAGACAATAGACGAGAGTAAAGAGAAACAGAGGTAGAGAAACAGAGAGTAAAGAGAATTCCATATAGGTAGCAGGTACAAAGGGACAGGGACTGGACCTATGTAAAGGGTGTGTGTTCAAAATATACCAAGCTGGGGCTTGGGGATGTTGCGGAGCTACTTAAATAGGTACGGGAAGTGAACAAGGGAACATCAGAACCTAGGGAGCATGAGGCAGATAATTGAGAGAGGCAGGCGATCGAGATTGGTACTTAATGGGGCTGGTGTCGGAGGGTTTCGTACGCGTGTTGGGATGGTTGTCCGGACGTTTTCAGGGGGTGGTGGTACTGTCTTGGGGAGGTGCGTACTGCCTCAGGGATGTCTTGGGGAGGTGCAAGGAGAGTCAGGAATGTGAGAACGTGTGGGCTGATGCTGGGGTTGGTCTGGTTGCGGTCAGGGCATGACACAGATAACCTGGCCAAGTTAGGATCAAACCTCCCATTACCCATCCCTCTCTCTTCCCTAGATTTTCTATCCCTCCCTGCTCCTCCCACTCTCTCCAACATCCCAAAGGTCTCCACCTCCCTGCCTGAACTCCCCCCTGAACCTGCACCTCAACTACAACACACCCCTCTCCCCCTCCACCCAGCCTCACATTGAGGCCGCAGCCATAAACGCACACAACAAGACATAATTTGACTCAAATTGTCCAATGCAGCCAGTGCCGGGAGTGCCACATTCTGGCGATATTACAATGATATCTGCCGCACCGCCCCTCCAACTCCCAAGGTCTCCCTGCAACAAATTACAGAGACTTTCATCCCTCGTATGAACCCCCCCGATCCCACGAAGTCATCCGTCGACCCTGCACATACCGCTGCAGAGGACGCTCGCGCCCATCGAATTCCTTTCCCTTCACCTCCTGCAACTCATCCTGTCTTCAATGACCCCTTATGTGTCGAAGACATTGCATCCATTAAATCATACCTAAAATGTACCACCCACTCCAACTCCGTCGGTGTGGATGCTGCCACCTACGACCTCCTCATCGACATTGACAATGATCGACTCCTCCTCTTTTCCAGCGTGCCATCGAACAACGAGATATTCCTTCCTCATGGCTCTTCTCCACCATCATTGCCCTTGCCAAACCCGGTAAAGATGCGTCTAAGACCTGCAACTACCAGGCCATTGCCCTCGAGAGCTGTGTTCTCAAATTCGCTTCCCTGCTGGTCCATCATAAACTGTGCCGGGCTCTCGAGCACTCTCACACCATCCTGTCATGCGCTGGCTCCAAGCCACAACGCAGTACTCCTCCCTTCCATTCCAAGTAACACCCCGAACCTCCTTCTTGCCTCGTGGGAACCTCCCCTCCCTCCCTAGACGCCATCTCGAAACCTCCTCAAACCGTACCCGAGAACCCGATACCTCCACAACCGCCACCGCTTGACAGACCCGGGAACTCGTCCACGCACCCATCAGCCTATTCCCATATATTTTAGATCATCCCCTTTAGGTGTCCACTTCACACAATGTTCCCCTGATCCTTTCCTCCTGTCTATATAAGTACTCATATATCCTAAGGATCCCCAGCTTGGTATATTTTGAACACACACCCTTTTGCATAGGTCCAGTCCCTGTCCCTTTGTACCTGCTAACCATACGGATTTCTCTTTACTCTCTGTTTCTCTACCTCTGTTTCTCTCTACTTCTGTCTACTGTCTCTCTGATCGTCTATACGATCGAATATACGCTTTCACTTCAAGTCTAAGCCTTCCGAGTGAGTCTCCGAGCTCCCTCGAACATTACTAAAGCTCCCCAACGCCTACCCGCTTTGGTGAGCTATCCTTCCCCAAACCTCCCAGAGCTCCCTAGCTACTTCGTAAGCTTCGGGACCTCGATCTAGGTAACGTCGAAGCTACCCCTCACGTCGAACTACGTATTGCTTCTCCGTTACCACCTCCCACACTCGAGGACGTCCATCCTCAAGCCCAGCCCCCAGGGACCTACCCTCCCTGGCATATCCCTTCTCGGGAGCTTACACTCTCGAGACCCAGTTGCATATACGACCTACTCGATCCTATATTGACGTTCTAGCGAGTACAACTCCTACTACGCAATACCATACAGTCCCGCACTCTTCCTTAACCTCCCTACACCTTAGGGACCTCCCTGGACCTCCTAGGAACCCCCTCAAGGGTCATCATTTCGTCGTTCCAGGCACTACTAGGTCATTCCCGTCCTCGGTCGCGGTTCTCGTAGCTCCCTTCGAGCTCCAGCCTGCTCCTAGCACGCTACAACATAAAACTTCATATACCAAACCTACCCTAAGACCTATTTTGACCCAGGTCTTACACATCCTGCCTTCTCAAAACGGCTTCTGGGAGGGGTTTCGCACCAACAACAACGCCTTCATTCTGCGCACTATCATTGAGAAAGCGCGCTCTTGAGGCGAAACCATCTACGCTGCCTTTATTGATATCTCCAACGCATTTCCCTCTACTAACCAGAGTTCCTTATGGAACAAACTCTCTGATGCAGGCCTTACTGGCAAGTACTTTGACTGACTTCGGTCACTGTACAACCAAATGACTTACACCATCGCCCACGACGGTCAACTGTCTGAAAACTTCCATGCATTCAGTGGTGTCCTTATGGGTGATCCCTCCTCACCCACTCTCTGGAACATATTCCTCTCCACCTTCAACCTGTCCTTTGACCCTGAGGACGTGGAGCTTGCAACAGTCAAACATGCGGACGACATCGTACTCATCCCCTGTGGTCAAGCTGGGCTTCAACACCATCTTGATTCTTTTGAGAGTTGGTGCCACAACAATGCTCTCAAGATAAGTGCAGACAAATCATGGGTCATGATTTTCGGTCACCTGCCTCATGTCCTCCCCCACTTCACACTCTCAGCAGAGATCCTTAAATTCCGCGACGTAGTCCGTTACATCGGCACCTTCTTCCAATCCACCCATTGCAATATCTTCACCTCCCACTATACCAAAAAACGCGACTCTGCTATTGGCTCTGCACGTGCAATCACAGGTTGTGACCTCCTCGTTGGGAATTGCTGGATGCCTCCCGCTGTCACCAGGCAGCTGTACATTGCCTTAGTGGACTGCCACTTGACCAACGGCTGCGAGGTCATGCCTGATACTGATGCCGGCCTGCTGCAGATCTTGGAGGACATACAAATCTGATTCCTTCGCCGCATGCTTGGCTTGTCAAACAACTCAGTCATCACACCACTCTACACCGAAACAGGAATAATGCCCATCCGCACCCGTCGTACAACCCTCTGCCTCCAATACCTCAAATACCTCATGGACCTTCCCAACACCCATTATGCCTCACTAGCCCTTGAAGAGAACGTCAAGCTTCGTAACTCAGGCTCCCCTTGCTGGCTCTCAGACTTAGACTTTGTGTCAAGTCCATGCCGCGGGCCTCCATTCCGCCGCTCGGGATTCCAAAGATCCATTCCTTATTGTAATCTCTTCCTATTGTTCTTTCTCGCTACACATATCCTTTCGTTCTAGTCTCTCATTATTGTCTTTTACTCTTTCGTTCTAGTCTCTCCTTATTGTCTTTCACTCTACCCTGCAGGTACTACTCATATAGCTCCTAGTAGTTAGTCTGGCGCTCCGCACCAATGCGCCGTTCCGTAGATATAAATACTGCCTGTACGCTACTGTAGTTCCTCAGTTTAATTATCGACTTAGATTCCCTCCTTAACTCTGTGCTCCTCTAAGTCTTCAGGCTCTCCGCTTTGAAGTACTCTCTACTATAACCTTAGGACTTAGACGTTCTCTGGTTCGCTCCTCGTCACCGGCGATACCGCCGCTCCGACCTGGCTGCTACTTAGCTCCTCTCTCTCTACTCTCGCTCTCCAGGGACTAACGGCGTAACGGCGGTGTTGTTAATAACTTCACTACTGTCCCATTTGTCTTCCGCACTTAGACACCTTGTAGCTTTGGCACGGTTACACAGTGTACATGATCTTAACACTTTGCTATTGCCCACCTCCCAGGGAGCCACCGTCTCCCTCCACTCCATGCTCTTGATGGTGACCGAATCGACAACCTCATTAAGGCTGTCGATTTCTTCACTAAATCTGAACTCCAAACTCACATCGACTCATGGTCCAAACTGTCCCTGCTTCATTACCGCCTGGAACTGAAAGAGGAAGGCCCGGTGAAGGCTCAGCTTATTGGACTTTGTCATTATCTCACGCAAGTCTCCATTCACTCTCATCATCGCACTATCACCAAGCTACTCTGTGGGGACCTCACTCCCCAAGTATTTCGAGGCTCTCCCTCACCACTTCGCATCCTAACAACTACAGAACAATGGATTCGACTGTGCTGTGCATGCAACCATCAACCGGTGACACGCCTAAATTTTGGCTAGACGTTTATGTTGTGAATTGTGACATTTTCACGTATAGATTCGTATCAAGAGGACTGTAATTGAGACCCAGATTGACAGTCAAAGTCAATACTGAATCAGTCTAATAAGTTGAAGGGACCATATACCCATACTACCACAAGTTGGTTAGTTTACCCATCCCTGATACTACCTACGGATAGCAGTCTACCTGTTTGTCAAGCAGGATTATACCAGACTCGGACTACATCCGAAGGATGACCATTCATGTATGACATACCAAGGGTATTCTTATTGGACCTTACACTGGCAGGAGTTTGGAAGAACTTACTCAAGTGACCATGAACCGAGGATTGACTCGAAATGACTTTCTAGAACTCAGGAATTATCAAATACTCCTTCTAGAACAAGATCATGCATTAATCTAAAGGACTGCGATTTAGTCTAATAGACCAATCAAGTTGCATGGTTGAGTAAAATGACTAGAAGAACAATCGAAAGACTGCGAGGCTCCGAAGACATATCAAATGAATGTCAAAGAGTCCTGACGTAGAAAACATTGAAGAATGCAATTAAATGAATACTATGCGTAACTCCCTTGATAGAGTATAGGCACAATGGGTGTCTGTTGAAAGAGAGAAGCAATTAGTTTAATCCAGATGAATCAGATTGATAGGATTAGAATCGAGGAGAGTTGATTTGCCTCCGGACGAGATGACAAACGATCGAAGTAAGTGTTGAACAGCAATGACAGTTGAATACTACTCGAGTCATTCTCTAAAAACAATTAAATTAAATGAATATTGAAGTACCTACCCATGTTTGGAGGTATACTAGAATCTTGGAACCAATATGGACTAAATAAGGACATGTAGATTCAAATTAAATGGTATCTGACTGAGTGTAGAAGTTTCCTTGCGGTTCCGAACGTTTATTGTTTTAAATTAATTGTACTATGCGACTCTATATTCTGTATGTATAAATAGCGATCCGATGTATCTGGAATACAAGTGATTTTGGGACGACGTTGCAGTGCTAATCCGTAAAAAGGAAAGACACACTCCCGCCAGACTGAAACCTCTTTGTTAGCAGCCGTTCGGGCCTGGCACTTGTGCGTATAGGAACGTTGTGTTCTGCTCCTTGTGACTGCGAGAAGTCTATCCAGTTGTTGGGTATTCTTCGAACTTAGGATCAGTCGTTGGTCTTAAGGGCAAATCACGCTGTGTGGTTGTGCCAGCACATAGTTCTAGCCCTCCGAGGGGTCTGTGTGTTTCGGTTTTAAGTTACTTTGATTCAAACCCCCAATTCTTGATATACCCAGATCAATACAAACCAAAGCACAAATCGTGCTGAATCTACCTTGATCAAAGGAATATATCGAACCCTTAGAACGATTCAAATTGATTGATCAAAGCTTCTTACTTAGCTCTCAAAGCTTTGCGGAACCTTTGCCAACGCTACCCCTTGCTATTAAATAAATTTGATAGCAGTGAACTCGCATATTGTGTATTAGATTGGTTGGTTGGAGTGCACATTAGATTCCTTCCTTTCTCTTTCACACAAAAACGAGGCAAGCTCGTTACCGGAAACCCCCCAGCACATCCTTTTCCAATGCCCTTCACTGCCGAGCATCATCTCTCTATGTTCAACCTTCATCGCCACCATGGGACAATTCCGACCTCTCCCCGTGAACTCCGTTTTCTCCGACGCGACCGCTTTACACTACCTCAAAGCATTCATCTTTGACTGGACTCTAATTGTACCGACCGCTAAATTCATCCACGACGTTGTGGTCCGGTGGCGGTACTACTTAGACACAGGCACTGATCAACACCTCGACACTTCGGCAGTATCTGACGACGGGGACTCTGACGAAGGATGACTCGTTTATGTACTACTAATTCATATGTCTAATCTCCTGTACATTACCCCCTCTTCTCTCTCTGCAGTCTACCGTCCCGCGTTGGATGAGCATTCACTGTAGTAGAGGTGGTTGGGCCCGGCTGTTCCCTCGTGGGACCCCGCCTTAGGCGGAGCCGCGTATCTATCTATCTATCTATCTATATACTTGTTATTCTGCTCCTCAATTATATATGTATTGTGAAGCTAGAAATAGTGCTTGACGTTGATGTCAAGTCCATGCCTCGGGCCTCCATTCCGCCGCTCGGTACTCCGAAGATCCACTCTTATTGTAATCTCTTCTTATTGTTCTTTCTCGCTACACATACCCCTTCGTTCTAGTTCCTCCTTATTGTCTTTTACTTTACCCTGCAGGTACTACTCGTATAGCTCCTAGTAGTTAGTCCAGCGCTCTGCACCGATGCGCCGATCCATAGATATAAATACTGCCTGTACGCTACTGTAGTTCCTCAGTTTAATTATCAACTTAGATCTCCCTTCTCAGCTTAGCTCCTCTCTAAGTCTTCAGGCTCAACGCCTTGAAGTACGTTCTACTCGACCTTAGGACTTGAACGTCCTCTGGTCCGCTCCTCGTCACCGGCGATACTGCCGCTCCGACTTGGCTGCTACTTAGCTCCTCTCTCTATACTCTCGATCTCCGGGGACTAACGGCATAACGGCGGTGTTGTTAATAACTTCACTACTGTCCCACTCGTCTTCCGCACTTAGACACCTTGTGGCCTTGGCACGGTTACACGGTGTACATGATCTTAACAGTTGAGGAATACCCCATATGTACAACCCAGTCTGACAGGTAAACAGTGTTATTACATTGCATTGTACAGTAGGTAGGTCAGACATGGTGCCATAGAGTTCCTCAGTTGTGTTTCTATCAACTGAGGTGAGCATAGTATACTCTCTAAAACCACCATACTGATGCACAGTAGAGTAAACTGTTTGTTACCAGGTACATACAATATACATAGTGGTAGAAACTGGGAGTAAACTGTTGGTTGACACTTGACATTTAGTCGTTTAATTTAAAAGAACCTCTGGGATAAGCACCTTTTGAAAATTACTTGGAATCACAAAATATACTTGGGAGACAATATTGGCCAGGCTATTCACATAATATGTATGTCCAAAGGCTCCTTTATACCCAAATGTCTGTATGCCATACAAGCCCTGCAACTTCACATCAAGATCCTTCATGGTTTTGACCAACATAGCATCCTGTATCCCATTAACTCTGAGAAGCCCCAAGAATGGCTCCGATTGTCGAACAGAAAACACAGAACGGGGTAGATGCATGAGTATGTCAAGTGTACAAGCCTTTATGACATCATTATGGTTAAGCATGGCCTTGTAGTATGAAATTGTTTGCACACACCATTCTGTTTGGCCGTGGAAACCATTCAGGAGATTTGTGGGAGAAATCTGTCTGTGGGTGTTTGTTCAAGAGACCGTTGTAAGGATTGAAAGCATCTTCACCTGTATGTGGTGTTATTAGATACAAGTAGAATGACTTCTGTTGACAGTACCTCTCATGGAAGGATTGTTTGAAGGATTATTCCCATCCTCTGAATCACTAGACTCATCTGGCTGTTCAAGGTCAAACTGTTGATGTTATCAGGTCCATGCTCGAAGATATTTAGCAAGAAGTTGTTTAATGCTTGAATCCCTTCTTCTTCACGAGAGCGTGAAAATTCAAGTTGAAGTTGGAGATCCTCCAAAAGGTTCCAGTCAATGTTTTCTGAAGGAGGCTGCAGTTGATCATCTTGTGTGAAGCTCGAGAGTGGAGGAAGCTGCTGATGAGAGGCATTAGGATTGCCAAGTGACTGAAAAAGATGTGTAGCCCCAAGATCATATATAGATTGGACTGGAACAGCAGGAGAATTTGTTGTCCCACTCTGAAATAATGAAGGATGAGAATCAGTCTCCATCCTGGCCTGCCACTGATTCACCATTGGCTTGTGTGTGGATGTTTTTTCATGGCGCCTCAAATGATAAGGTGTCTGACCAGCACCACCACAAACTCTACAGTAGATAAGCCACTCGTTGCACTCAAGTTCAACCTGCCAAACTGTAAGTAAATTGAATTGACTATTCAGAATCAAAGAGGTCATTAACATGTTCAACCTGCTTGCCTTGTGAATTTTCAAATCCACTTGGTTGCATATTCCCTCGGTATGACATCAATGAGCTGTTTTGGGAAGAGGATTCTGGTCCCAGAGCCAATGTTGTTCAAATGAAAGTATGGTACAAAGAAAAATTTATGCTCAGTACAATTTTCAATATTTTACTTCATGTTTCAAAATCCTTAGCCAGGGCACAAGAGGGTGTATCCGGCCACTATGAGCCTGGGGCTCAATGAAGGTCTGGCCATGTAGTAAATGATCCTTTAGCGCGCTGCAAGTGTGGCAATCCCCGACTCTGAAAGGGTTCAACATTTTGAGCTTGTAAAATAAACACTAGGCTCCACTGTCGTGGACGGCACCCTGCTTGGTACTGGATGCTTTTTATTACATAAAGGTAATAATTTTTTGCAAGCGCTACAGATACAATGAAGCGCAATAGTCAGTACGTACATTGTATCGTGGGCATTTACGGTTTTGACATGGTGTTCCGCTGTTCCAGCGCCAACTCTCTACTTCTCTGTCCAATCCACCATCTCCGACAATGTCTTTCGACCACAGAAGTCTGCTAGTACCTGCATCTGTGAATGTGCGCTACAACCCACTGCAATGCTAGCCGCAATCCGATGCTTTCGACGTGTCATCTTCCTTTCTCAGAAAATGTCTTTGCCCATGCAGTGGAGGCATCGCGTATGGACCTGTGTGTCCAATAACCACCCGTCCCGCGGTCACATCATCGGGGTAGCCAACGTATACGCCTCTTCCATTGATCAAGCTGCATCCGATGGTGTCACCAAATGCAAGTATCATTGGAAGTGGCAACGACCTTTTACTAAATAATATTCGAATTCGCGCATGCTATAATGGTCAAGTTAAGTACCTTCTGTGATTTGTGAATTATCCATCGCCATAACTCACGTTCTTTCCTTCGATTTTCATATATTCCACGCAGTAATCCTCGAAAACGTTTGGTACCGACACTATCGTACACTGCAGTTTGATTTTGAACAGGAATTCCGACCATATCATCTGGGACAAACGAGGCGCAAACACAAGCAGAGGTAAGCCTGTACGCGCCATTCCCGGTAATAGATTGAGAAAGCGGAACACAAATTGACCCCCGACTATAGATTTAGTTTTTGTGAGCATTTTTAAGAATGCCAGTGGCTCTTCGATGTAATCGCCTAGTAAGTCAATGAATCTGCTGTCCATGAACGATCCTACTTCAGCGGCATGGAAATGAGAAACTGTTTTCAGCATCGACCAGTCTCTTCATTTTAAGTTCCTCAGTATATTGTGTTCGATCGCGACTGGAAACCGCTCATGAAACAGGTATCTTCCTGAACATCCTGTTTGCAGTCAGTAACAGTTTCCGATGCAGCTCCTTGTACTTACGTTTGGAATATGTCATTGATGATGATCCTGTCCCAGCACTCGATGTCTGTATAACCACCAGTCTCGAAGACGTGTTTGATGACAAGGACATTTCCTCTAGGTGGCGTTCCTCCCTCGATGCAAGTTTCGATGGCTCTGTTGACTCGGCGATCCTGAGTACTCCGTTGATGCTGTAGCTCTGTGTAGATGCTGAAGATTGCCCTTCGTCCTTGGCCATCAAAGCATTCGACCTCATGACGGCCCGATGAAGCGAACACTCCTTTGTTTGGACTAATTCCATTGAACGGGGGTGGTATCCAGAAGTCGCTGTAGACGTACTGAGGTCCCATGTCGACGGGGTCATTGTACTGTGGCACTAAAGGTACAGGTACAATGTCAATGTAACCGTTGTAACCATATAGCAGTCCTTTCCAATGAAGAGGAAAATCCTGGAACAGGACTTTCAGTGGGTGTATTACAAGAGACATTACTCGACGTACCGTCACAATGTTGTAGAAGTATTCCGTTCTGTTTGTCACTGCTCTCTTTTTCTGTACCTTGAATGCAGTCAACATTAATATACAGTTTAACCCTTGTGCTCCTACTTATTATCCTGCTGTCTCTCCTTCAAATAGTGTCGGGTACAATCGCGGGATAAATCGGAAACTTCGCTTAAGGTTGATAACGATCATTATCGGGTGAAATGTTGTTGTGAGGTTTTGCGCGACTCGTCATCTCCAAACTATTTCACCTGTGAAGCCGGAGAGTGTCTTTGTTCAGGTTGGTGTACAGAATGTTCCGCCGCAAGGACACGATTCACGATGCAGTTTTTTCAGAAGACAGTATTCGCAAGTTGAAATCATGAAGTGTTAATGACTTTCGTACGCGACGTGCCACCGTATTGTTCAAATTGGAGAATGGAAAGACCAAACCCATCCCAGTCACCTGTCACAGAAAATGCAATGAAAACAAGCACTCCTTTTGTATATTTTTTTGTATTTCCACTGTTTTATTTTCGTTTTAACGCAAACAGAAAACAGCATTGTATTTACTTTTATTGAATGTAGTGTGTGGACCTATATATGAATGATAATACATACATATCGTGTCCGTTTTTTTTTCATTTCCGTCTCCTTTGTCGCTGTCGTCGTCGCGACAAATCATGGATCACAATGCACGCGATTTCCCTTTTTTGAGAAGTCTATGTCCCTTATCGGCATCATTATCGTCGTTGGCCCCCCTTCCATGCTTCAAAGCACTCGTTACCTTGTTGTTATCACCCAAAATCACAGTGGAGGATGTTGAAGCTGTTTGACTCGACCTAGAACCTGAAGTTGCCGCTGAAGAGCCCCAGGTCATTGCACAACCTCAATGTATTTGTAGAAACTCACGTGGAAGTTTAAGTTTGCTGGTTTGACAACTACATTGATTGTCGACTGTGGTGCTGTCCAATGTATCTGTAGACACTGATCATGCCTTCAGTCGAGATAACCCCAGAAGCGCATTGTCACTCACTTTCATCAGTACCAGGATCACGTCATCCACCGTCAGTCTCACCAGAGACAGTGCTGCCAAAGTTGTGAACCAGTTTAGGTGTATCTATCGCAAGTGTTTGTGAGAACGGCTCAATGTTGGTGCAACACAACGAACCATGAGTTGTCACTATCGTGTTCTTAACAGGTACGCCCGCTGGATCTTGCAGGGTAAAGTTCTTGTCGTGGTCGTAAACTTTGTCTAGTAGTCATTCTGAGTCATTTATGGAAATCTGAACATGCAGTGCCCACCATGCAATGCTCCGCCGTGCATCCCGTACATGCTATTACCAGTGTTCCCATCGGCTCCACCCTCGTATGTGTAGTACTCTGGGCGATAACCTATGAAGATGAGCTGCATTAGTACAAGTGCCCAATAAATAACAACAAAGCCATACCATGACCCCTCCTGTTCATTCCCGGACTGGCACTGCTGAAGTGTGGGTCAATTGGTGGTGGATTAGCATGATACCATTCAACCGCCCCCCCTGTTTGATTCCCGATATTTCCTGTAGAAAAATTGGCATCGGTATTTTCAAACGCTGCACCAAGAACTCGGTGAGGTTTCGGGTCGCCATTGAGGTGCTGCTGTATCATTCCCTGGTAAGGTGAAGCACGTGCATGCATGTCGTTACGTGTTGGAGAAGTATAGTTGCCAATGTTGTAGCGAGAAGCAGAACCGGTTGGGGTTTGAGGTGATGCATTCAACGATACGGTGGCAAGCAAAGAGCTGTCACCCTGGGGGGTACCGTTACTGTTTTCGAATGCAAACAGTGGCTGACTACAATACAAAGGGGTGTTACCTGTGGACAGAATGTTCACCATTCAATCAACAGAGTATCTCCAAAATATTTGTAACATACCACTCTCTCCGACAATCACATTGGATCGGTTTAGGCTATTTTGAGGCGTCGTCGGTGGTGTTAGAAGAAGTCCAATTTGAGGGCTGCCATTATCTTGAGGAGTACTCAGCAAATCCACACGTACAACATCGGCAGCAAAGGAAAATGGCTCATTCGGGTTGTAACGCCAGCAACGAAGGCCGAATGTCACGCGAACCGTTGCGCCGCCGATGACACTATGCGCCCTTTGGAGCGGAATAGGCTCGTCGTTCATCCCAAACAGCGGAAATGGTGCAAGCCCCTTTGTTAGCCTTATGTCCGTCCAGTCAGCATCTTCCCTCTTATTCTTTGGAATTGACGAATATAGTACATCTGTTTGAGAGCAAGAAACACGACTTATTGCGGTGAAATACAGTAGTTTTGTCGTGGAGTACGTACCATCCGGTGCTTCACCATCGTCCAAATCCTGACAATGTTGTCAGCAGAGCGTTCGGAAGTCGTTAACGTCAATATGAAAGATTTACCCGAAACACTTTGCATCCCATTCTCACCAGGGAATCCAATGGAGGTACGTTCTCGTGGACGAATAGATATCTGACTTTCCATGTGTTGTTTGCTCCAGCGGTCTGGATTTCTTTCAACTTCGTGATAGCGGCAATCCAGTCGTTGCGGAATACACCTGCCAGGGGGGGCCAAGTTGGAAAGTGCGTAGAGAGTTGTTGGGTGGATACTGGCCCACCGGAGTCCAGCCTCCAAAAATTCCTGTATTGTTTAAGTTCGTTCCTACGCGGCCGACAATCTGAAAAGGTATGTAGGCTGGTGCTTCTTGTCCCGCCGTCAATGGTGTGCAATACGTCTTCTTCCCATCAAGCACAAACCAACCGCAACCATCGGGGAAAGGACCTTCATGTCCGAGGTAGAAAAAGCTGCCGTGTAGCATCTGTTGAAGGCGCGAGTAGTCACTCGGTGTCATCTACATGTTTTGGTTTGAGTATGAAGTGTTATTGGGACTTCGTTTACTTACATTCATAGTGGCTAGTTCCGTCAATTGTAGTCAACGAAATGAGCAGAAGTTCTGCGTTCAATGTGAATAGAATATGCCTTTATACTCTGAAGTGAACTCTGAAGTGAACCCCGTTTCACTGATATCAATTGTCCACCTACCGCCTCTCGCCTAATGATGCAGGGTCGCTTACATCCTTTGTATGGATGAAGGAGTTGGTAGTCGGGTGTTCACGGGTATGCATGGACGCAAACGTGAATGAGCAAGTAGTAGAGGAAGAAACCGGAGCAGCACGTACCCCTGAATTTCTTTTTGCAAATTGGTTTGACTCGGAGGTACATCATGAACTTTGGTAATGTCGCAGTTCAGGATTGTTCACATTTTTTCATGAGCTTTCTATGATACTATGTCCACTGCCAGCAACGACCACACGTGCATCGAAGCAATTGTGAAAGCCTACACAAAGAAGGAGTTAATTTCCATACTGAAGGAAAATGACCTGAACTTGCGACCTACAGACAGTCGAACTAAGGCTGACATTTGTAAATCACTTCTCAGATTACCAGCAGAAGTACGCAATGGTGTAATAGTGTGTCTTAGTTCGAGGCGTGCATTTCCCGAAGCAAATGTGCAAATCAACCTAGAACTTCTGCAACGTTTCAGCAAGGATGAACTTGTTCGAATGACGAAGGATGAAGGAATTGACATACCTGCATGGCTATTCACAAAGAAAGTGAAGTTGGTCCAGTATTTGCCGTCACTAACGCCATCAATGTACAATAAATTATACCTGCGGCTCCAAACTGTAAGTTGAAGGTGGTAGTGATTTCTGCCACTTGTCTAATATAATTTCCATTCAGGTGCAGGAACCCAAACCCTTGCACGACATGTTGGGCCGCAAATTCGAATCATGCACGGTCATTCAAATCTTGACCGCGATGCGTGACGTAGGTATTGACACTCAGCAGTTGGAGACGGTGCCCAAGGAGTTAGTCATTGACTACATTGCCCGGCAAACACCACCTGTACTAGCGAAGTTGATGCTTCGACTTGAGCCACCCCGTGTGCCAGTACTTGAACGCCCATTTCTAGGCGTCCCAGACGAAGAATGCCGGCGAGGACTCGTCAGGGACTTTATCATAGCCACCGGAAATACAGCTGTCCGACAGGTTGTTTGTTGCATTTGCGCACGGCAGCTGTCCAGTTCCGAAGCTGAATCAATGTACCCCGCATCGATACCAAACAGTAACTTACTGAAATCTGCAAAGATGCACCCTGCACACGTTTTGACCATGGGAATGCTCCTCTACTACGACACTCATACCAGAAAGGTTCCAGGCTATGCATGTAGAACGTGCCTTCAGCACTTGGCAGCGAAGGTACCGAAACGGCCACCACTCGCACTTGCCAACAATTTGTGGATTGGAGAGGTTCCATTCGAATTACGAATTCTGTCGCTCTGTGAGAGGATCTTGATATCGAGGTTCTTCGCAGCTGCATACATTGTCAAGCTTTATCCCAAAAGTCGCGGCGCTCGAGGCTTACCAAAAGAAATGCTTACCAGTGCAGTCAGGGGCAACGTGTCATCGTACTTTCTGAACACCGAGGACATCATCAGTATGATAGACCCAGGTTATCTTCCTCCTCGACCAGCAATCCTTGCAGCAACCATAGGAGTCACTTTCATTGGCCCAAATAACATTCCACTGAAATTTCTTCCAGCATACCTGCACATTCGTCGTAATCGAGTTTGCGATGGTCTACGCTGGCTAATTGCCAAAAACCCATTATATTTAGGTCAAAAGATCTCAGAGAACAACTTGAGTTGTCTTCCCGACGACGGTGTACCACAAGAGATCACCGACAACATGAAATGGGTGGATGATGTTGCGGTTTTGGACAAAGAGAATGGTGGGTATGTGCCAAACCAAGAAGAGAATGAAGAAATTCTCGAAGAAGCAGAAAGTGAAGATATTTCTTGTCCAGACAATTGTGAGTTCCTGTTCAGATACTGCGGTTGACTTGTTCAATAAATTCGTGAATGTAGTAGATCATTGTTCGGATAGTGAAGCTGATGCTGGTGAAGAGGGTATTCCTGGTGGGGATGATTATGGTAGGGTAGAACAAGGTAAAAATCGATCTTGTCCTGTTGTAGCAAACAGTAGTGTTGATTCAATCACTTCCTAGCCCCACTGCAAGCCCTCGGAGTCGTCAATGTCGATGGAAGTTCGATACCCGAAAGTGACTTATTTGCACATGCGATGCGCAACACAAGTGGCCACGCTGAGAACTATTTAGTTAAACCTGGGGGATTTGTCAACACATATGGCAGGAAAGATAAAGAAGGCCAACTTACATGGGGCACAGTTGAAAATCCTAATCATCTCCTAGGGTGCTTTCCTCATCTGTTTCCCTATGGTGAAGGAGGTTTTGAAACTGAGAGACCTGCGGAAGTGTCTTATGCGGCTCACGCAAAATGGGCTTTGCAGTACGCAGACCGACGATTTCGTTTGGATCATCAGTTCATCTTCCAAGTTTTCGGAGTCATTCAAAGGCGCGAAATTTGTGCAAGAGCCAGTCTTCGCATTACCCGTTTCCAGTTCCGCAAGAACGAGGAAGCTATACGGAAATTGACCCCGAAAGATTTGCTCCAAGCAAGTGAAGAAGAGAAGAAAAAGAAGAAGATATCCAATCCAGCTATTCGTGCTCTTCGGTCCCAGCTAACAGCCGTACGTTTGAAAGTATTGGCAACAGATGAGCATTAAGCTAGTGTACGGGCCCAGATATGGTCACTGAACGTCGCTTTCAATCCACCCTCTCTGTGGATTACCATAAATCCTTCTGATACACATAATCCTATCGCCCAGGTCTTTGCCGGTGAACAGATCAACCTTGACAACTTTGTTTCCACACGAGGTCCTACATCAACTTTGTGCACCATTAATCTGGCACAAGATCCATACGCTGCGGCGCAGTTCTTCCACTTCACTGTTCGGGCTATTCTGGAAGTCTTGTACGGATTTCGGAAAATGAGTATTGGTCATCCCTCTCGAAAGCTTGGAATAGTTGGGCTGGTGCAAGCACATGTGGGAATGGTAGAAAGTCAAGGGCGAGGTACACTCCACCTGCACACAATAATGTGGCTGGTCAGTGCACCTAATCCATCCGAGATGAGAGAGGCATTGAAGTCAGCTGAGTTTCAAGCAAAAGTCGTCACATTCATTTCGTCAATGATGAGGGCGGATGTTAGCAAAATGCTCTCGGAGCTCATGGCTATTAAACCGCAACCTTCAGTGGCATACCAACGACCGATTTCCCCAGATGATCCACAATATGAAGCAAAGCGGCTTCAACAGGAAATCATACTCGCACGAACCCTGCAGTTCCACGAGTGTAGCCCGGAGCACTGCTATAAGCTTATAAAAGGTGTCATGCGATGTAAGCGCCGGGCTCCTTGGCCGACATCTGAGTTTGACTATATTGATGAGGATGGAACATGGCGTATGAAGCGAACAGTGGGATATTTGAACGGGTTCAATCCAACAATCCTGGAGACACAACTGTGCAACAATGATCAGAAGCTTGTCATGAACGGCGATGAAACGCAGGACATGACGTACTACATCACCACTTATTTGACAAAGAAAAGGGACCGTTCAACAAACGAGAGCGCGATATTGGCGCAGAGGTTGGCTTACCACAGCGAGCAGAAACGAAAGAATGGTGATGTTGCTGAAGCATCGAGGAAGTTGGTGATGAGATGTGCTACTGCACTCAACCGTAACCAAGAGTTGAGTGCTCCAGAGGTCATTAGCTACTTGATGAGATGGGGGGATCGGTATATTTCTCATACCTTTGCCCCAATATACCTCGAAGGCATAGTGTCGTGCCTGCGACGGTATTACATCTCTTTGCAAGAAAAGAGGTGCGTGAACCTCCGAAATGTCCGAGAGCATTTCATGACTGAATTTCAGATGGGCCCGTGTAGCAAGTGGAGGTGGTGGATGTGAGGTGGTGCAGGTATCTGATAACACAGCAGCGGAGGTGAGTTTTGATATAAACCTTATCACTTGTTCTGACAGAGCGAAGGTGGAGGAAATTAGACTGACAATGGTGTCCGGTGAAGTGGAGACTTGAATGCAGCTTGACGACTATTGCCACCGGGGTGAAACCCTCCAACATTACAACTTGAAGGACTTTTTTGCTGACACCTATGACAAGTTTGAGAAGGGCGCGGATGGAGTGGTCGTGGATAACCGAATGAACACAATCCGAGCAGGTAGAATACCTGGAATCCGACATCAGTACCTTCCCAGTAAAAAGCCGAATCATGTTCGGCTGGTCCGCCAGGAGGGCCATGAGACGGTCCCACTTTACGTCGGTCAATGGTTCCCTCGTAACGATCGACCAGAAGACAGAGAGTTGTACATTCTCCTGATGTTGGCAATACTTAAGCCATGGAGGGAAATAACAGACATTACAAGAGGGTTTCAAACGCTGGAGGAAGTGTGGTCGGACTTCACTGAGCATTGTTCGGATCGTACACATGACTTTATCGCTGACGTCCAGTACTTTTATCGATGCTCAGACCAATCTGCGGCTCGGCGCGAGAAGGAATATCAGTCATATGTTTCACTGGAAGTGGCAGGGGAAGAGACAGAATTGATGGTACAGGACAGGGTTGTAGGCGTTGAAGTTCCCGTGGGGCCAGATTTCGCTTCTGACGAAGAGATTTACAAAGCCCAAGACCAAGAAGGTATGGCGCGAGAGATGTATGCTTATATGGCTATGGAAAGTGCATACGACGCGGGTGTTTTTGAGCGTGAATTTGAGCCTGTTGCTGTTGCACCTATTGCAGGCCGCTGTACACTGGAGGAGAGGGTCGATTTTCAGGAGTGGCACAAGGAACTTCTTGAGTACACAAGTTCAGGTGGACATTTAGTTGTCAATGACATTGATATGGCTCGCAACATAGGCCATGTTGTTGCAAATGCTCCCCCAACCGCGACTGTCAAATGCGAAACCATTCGGGATGATGTAGTCCGATCGGGCGGTGTTGGTAAAGGCCTTCGTGACATCCTCAATGAAGAGCAAGCACGGGCGCACGATATAGTGGTGGAACATCTTCAGAAGACTATTGCAGGCAAAAGACCTGCCCAACTACTTTTGCTACTGCAAGGCGCAGGTGGAACCGGAAAGACAGTCGTGATCAATGCAATCAGCGAGACCTTTGAGCGACTGGGTGTGAAAGGTTACCTGGCAAAGACTGCCACAACTGGCGTCGCTGCGAGCCATTTCGGTGGAAAGACGCTGCACACATGGGCAGTAATAAAGGTTGGAGCCAGGGCTGGAGAGGATTTAATTTCGAATGCATCAATTGCAATTCAACGGCGACGGATGGCAAATATTGGCCCCGCTAGATACCTAATTTTGGATGAGTGTTCAATGGCAACTAAGGAGCTGGTTGGACGTACGAGCACGATTTGTACACATGTGGCAACTGTGGAGAACAGACCGAACTGTGATCAATACTTTGGAGGAATGAATGTCATCATGTGTGGTGATTTCCACCAATATCCCCCAGTGGGGAATGGCCATGGTGCACTATATCAGCCCAATTCGGCAGGGGCAAATTCATATTCAATACTAGGTCGGCACATCTATACCAAATTCAACAAGGCAGTGACTTTGAAGCAGCAAATCCGGGTGAAAGATGAACGTTGGATGGAGTTACTCAGTCGCCTTCGAACTGGTTCCTGCAATGCCGACGATTTGGAGGAGCTCAGGAAGCTGAGGTTGGACATCGAAACCAATCCGCAGACTGATTTTACAGAACCCGGTTGGAATACCGCGGTACTGATCACACCATGGAACTCAGTTCGTCGGAAGTGGAACAAGGCCGCTGTACACAGGCACTGTAAGCTAAACAATCAGTGCCTGTACTCTTGTCCAGTGGAAGATACAATTGCAGGAGAATCACTCACCTCGGGACAACTTCTTCGTCTCGCTAAATTCAACACGAAACGGACTGGTAATCTCGCACACCGCGTAGAGATTGCTGTTGGGATGAGTGCAATGGTCCTAGCGAACATTTCTACAGAAGCAGATCTAGCAAATGGAACGCGTGGTACGGTTACGCATATAATTTTAGATGACCGGGAACCCCTCGAACATGAGGAGAGGGATGGAGCGACTGTGTTGCGTTATCCTCCCGCTTGCATCTTCTTCAAGCCCGATGGTGACACAGCCGTTCATCTAAAGGGATGTCCAGAAGGTCTGCTGCCCATCGTCCCGCAGGAAGCAAAGTTTTCAGTCCCAGTGAATGAAACAGGCAGCCGGACAGTTGCTCGAAGGCAGCTAGCGTTGACACCAGGATATGCATTCACTGATCTAAAGAGCCAAGGTCAAATGATAGAATATGTTATTGTCGACCTGGCGAGCCCAAACTATGGGAGCAAGTTGAACGCATTTGGGGCGTATGTTTCTTTATTGCGTAGTCGGGGCAGGAACACGATATGGATTTTGCGTGGGTTCAATGAAAGTATATTTGTGACCCACCCGTCACAAGTACTTGAATCAGAGGACGAGAAGCTTATCGAATATGAGGAGGCAACAATGAGAGCATAGAGTGCAGGGAATTTGTGGGATCTTGGACAACGTTGATCGCATCCACAAGTGGTAATAAATAGCGTAAATGAAAATTTATACAGTACATACTACAAATGAATGCAGTCTACGTATTTGTGTGCATGCCGAGTGCTGACGACGCAGGAAGGTAAACTTGTACAAGTACGTCTTTTGCTCTTCGGCACAGAACCATTGTGTGAAGGGCCGTTGACAATGAGCGTCCAGTCCATGCAGTTTCGATAGCGTGACAATGTAAATTTAGCAGTAAGTCAGTTTTAAGACAGAACGTACGGACCGTAAGCAGGGAGAGCGAGGGACTTATGTCCGTGCAAACTTGATAGAATGAATAAATTGCCATTTCCTGTGGGAGATAAGACCAATGTGAAGAAACACACAAACAATCATACAACTTACATCTGGACTAATGGTGTTGATAAGAAGATTGCATTCAAAGAGTCGAAGGTTGTTGAACATGGATTGGAATTGTCGAAGGTGTTGGGCAGTAAACCAATCATCAAGGAGCAAACTGAACTCCCGCAATGTTGGTGTTCGCGCAAGACCTTCTCTCAGCCTCATTACATTTATTGCATCCGGACTCCAGTCTGTTATAGTGATGGAGGTGAGGGGGCGAGGGGCATATGCCACTATGGTGGTAATAACGAATCCACATCCAGACAATGACTCCAATTCCGGTACAACGTGACGGTCCTTCAGAAAGGAAGACACATCCACGGTACAACCAGGAATGTAACCCAGTCTCTTAATCTTTGGATGTCGGACCAGGAAATTTGATATGTCGAGGTCACCATGGCAGTCCGAGACATAAAAATCTTCCAAGTGAGGGAAGAGAAAAGACGTCAAATTGAATAGATCCTGCACCGAAGCGGAAGACCCTTGGCGCAATGCATCGTATGTAAGGTGGAGGGTTTGTAATGCGGAGCAACAGGGCTGAATGTGCAACAATGCTTTCACCGCTGTTGGGAAATTGACTGAGTACATAGAAGTTAAAGAGCATCTACAATCGTATTCAGAAGGAAAATACCTGGGACAGAGACCATGTGAAAATCAAGGATCAGGTGCTTTAACCTTTCACTGCTAAATGAGGTCTGAGAGGAAACGGTAAGGATAGAACAACATTATGCTTCAGAAACCAACCATTAGTGCTGAGAACAAATCGACACCAAAAACGGGAGGCCTGGAGCAGCAAAGTGACACCGATTCGAAGTGGCTGTACTCCAACTTTGTGGTAGTGGAGACAGGATTGAGGTCAAACAGGTAGAAAGCACCAAACGTGAATGATGTCTTTTTCTTAGCATAACGTGAGACGTTATTGAATGCATCGACGAAATAGGACAAGAAAGTTTCATTGGCAATATCAGCAGAAATGTCGATATGCTCAACATAGTATGCTGGGTGCCTGCAACGCATGATTTGCTGAGATGCAGAGGATGGTTGTGCGAGAGTGGCAAGTGCATTTTCCGATACTTTGGTGTAGAGGTTTGCAATCAATGCGATGTAAGCCTGTTTCGACACGAGAGGCAGAGAGACAAGTGCTGTATGACAATCAATAGTGCCCAGAGCAATACGGAACAGAATTTCGAGGGGCATGCCCTCGAACGAAGGAGTAGGCATAACGGTACAAGGACGACATCAAGAAAAGTTAGAATGGAAAGTTGGAGGTAAATAATTTGTTTCCGAAGGAACGATAAGTACCATGTGGAGCGCAGCATCCTTCCGAAGTCGGTCAAACACTGTTAAACCGCAAACGAGTGTTGGGAATAGGTCACAAGCGACCCTGCACATATTCCAAATATGCGTTGCAGGGTAGTAAGTAGTCTTCCGTTCCGACCCGTTACTAGTCGTCATTGTTGTCACGGTTAGTTAATAGCGGTCAGTGCTGTTAGTGATCACTGACTGTCAGTGAGTTTTGACCGGTTCGGACCCGGTTAGTTAATACGGTCATTACCATATGTAGAACCAGAGTTCCACTGTTTGAAGCTCATACATAATACAAGTTTTTCCCTCTTCCGTTATTTGAACATTTGGCTCAACTCTAATACATTGTAATGCCACCAAAATCTCTCCTTCGAGAGCTATTCTGGACTGACATGCGACCTGCCTCCTCATCTGACAACGTACATCAAAAAAAGTTGTGCATAGCATGTATTGATGCACGAGCGAGACATCTTGAGGTTGCAGATATGCTTGCTACAGCTCATGCTCACTCATCTCAAGTGGTTGTGAGGACAGCAGAGGAAAGACTGAATCAATGTGCGTGTGCACCTTTACATATATATTACACATGGTTTCACTGAACAAAATTTCATCTTATAGCACGTTGTGATCTCTGGGGCACAGAGAGTGAAAGAAGAAGTGAATCCTTGAAGATGCGTGCTCATGTCATGAACTGCGCAGCCTTCGAGAGGTCTCCGGAATGGAAACAGCTTCGTGATCAAGTTGTTGCACGATATGATGCTGATTTAGCCAAGAAAAAGCGGAAATCTGTCCTGAATAACCCTACTTCTATGCATACCTTATCCAATGAGAATGCATTGCCTGTTCCTTCCTCGTCTACTTGCTTTCCAGCTTCACAACAAGTCCCTCTGTCTGCACACACCCTTGGCTCATTAACAACATTTCCATTCTCTTCTCTATATACTCAGCAGCAGCCTGAGCTTCGCTTGCCTCTCTCACCACTCTCACTCTCTCTGAGTCCACTCAATACTGAGCCACTCCAGAAACGGCAACGCACTGGCCTTGTTCCTCAGACCTGGAGCTCAAATATCCAGGAAGAGTTTGGTCATGATCTTGCTGAGGTTTTTGCTTCATGCGGTATAGCTTGGGTTGTAGCACAGCATCCTCAATTCCGTACTTTCTTCCAGAAATGGTTACCAGATGCGCATGTACCAGATCGACGTGTGCTTGCAGGACGCTTGCTTTCGGATCTTGCAAATGGTGTAATAGTAGAAACACGGGAGAAAGTTAATGGCAAGCTGGGAACATACCAGGCTGATGGGTGGAAGAATGTTGCGAAGACAAATGTGAATACATCATTAATAACAGTTGAGGGAAAGGTAATTTCAATATATTTTCATAAGATTGTGCACTATTAATACTAGTACTGTGTAGAGTCACCTCGTAAAAACTCATGATATGACTGGTCGGCCTAAGACTGGTGATGAGTACTACAGCATCATGGAGGAAGACATTGAGTACATCAAAAAGGTTTATGGAGTAGATGTCATTTGTGTATGTACAGATGATGGACCAGATGGCAAGAAGGCTCGACGCCTAGTCCGGGAGAAGCAACCAACAATAGCCACTACACAATGCTGGAGCCACCAGATGGGTTTGTCTACAGGGGATTATTTGAAGCTCAAACTTCCATTCATGCTGGCAGCAAGTCAGGCCATTGAAGTAATCAAATGGTGGAATAACCACAACAAAGCCCATGACTTGCTGAAAGCTCAACAGCTCACAATTTCAATGAAAGTGCTTCAGCTTATTCTACCTGTTATCACTCGATGGACTGCTCATTACTGCTCACTCCGGCGAGTTGAGCACCTTGAACGTGCTATACGGGGCTGTGTTGGAGCTCACTTCGAGCAATTGCTTCTTGCTGGTGGTAATAGGGCTGACCAAAAACAAAAGGCTGAAGAAGTGATGGCTTATTGCCAAAGCCCCGTGTTCTGGTTGAACCTCAAGCGGTAATTTTTTTTTCTTTTACTGTGAATCATACACTTATCAAAGGCTAGAATTGTCCGGCATCTCGAACCACTAGCTATTGCTGCCAACATTCTACAAGGAGACTCTGTCCGTTTTGACCATGTTCTACTCACATTAGGAAACCTTTACCGCATTTTTGGCAATCTTCCCATTGAAGATCATGAGGTCTCTCACCATATGCAGACTGTATTTGAACGCCGCTGGAAAAATTGTGATCAGGAACTCTTTATCCTTGCTGTTTTCTTCAATCCTTACATCCGCTCCAAATGCTTTAACCATGACACATTAACACAAATGGCCCTTATGAAGATGGCAGGTCGCATTTTTGAGCGTCTTACAGGACAAAAATTCCTCGGGGATACAGGATTTATGATTGCATTTCAAGACTATTATTCAGGAATAGGTGTATTCTCAGATGGTGAAATGTGCTTGAGCATGTTTAAAGCCACATTTGAGGCAGCAGTGAGTCTTTTTCTTTTTGAGATAGTCAATTATTGAGGCTTGACTGTAACCTCTATAGGATGAACCCCTTGATCTTGTCAAACTGTGGCAGAGCTTAGATGGCAATCCGAATAACTTTACTGGGCAGAGTGGCTTTGTCAAACTTGCCATCCGTATCCTTAGCATGGTTCCCAATTCTGCCGGTGCAGAACGGGTCTTCAGTGCATTTGGCTTTGCACATACCAAACACCGCAACAAGCTCGACTCTCAAAAAGTACATGAATCTACATTAGTACGTCAGTCAAATATTCAAAAACATCAGGAAACTGGAGAAGTCAAAAAGCGAAAGCAACGGCACTTCAGCAGTGAAGATGATTCCAAAGAAGTCTTTTCTATCTCTTCGGCTCCCTCTCCTGCTCCTACTTTTTTGATTATAACTAGTGATCTCATTAGTGAGGCAATCACAGATGAGCAGGATAGTGATGAACATTTTCTTCAGCCAGAAGAGCTGGTGTCTACTCTGACTCATGCTACACCTGCTCTTCTATCATCTGATTTGGCCAGTTATGCAAAGATTCCTCTCGAAAAGCTTTTCAACTTTCCACCTGGCACAGACTCTGAGCTTGAGTTCTACTGGAAGGGTGGGATCAGGACACTTGATGAGGAAGAGATTGATTTGGGAGGAGCTGATGCTGATACTGGAAGTGAGACTGCCGACATGAACTAATAACACCTCGGGAATAACATCCTAATGTTCTACTGTACATATTGTATTGTTTCTAGACTTGACTATTGCTTTGGATCAAGCACTCATAGAATTGACTGTTCAGTACCACATGCCCCTGGTCAATGGTTTTGACTGACCTGGTCGGACAGGTTAATTAGTCATCATTAACTTGGTCAGACCTGGTCGAACTGGGTCATTGACAACACTGCTAGTCGTGAAGCAATGCGATTGGAAATTTGAAGGCATAGAGGATGTGATAAAGTCAGAGACGAAGTGCAAGTCGCAGAGCGCATGTTGGACAGAACGAGATTCCACCCCAATGGGCGAGATAGCATAACTCCAAACGAGATCTGGTTCCATATTGCAGGCTTTGCGGACCACGGAGCAGTGATTGCGTTATCATTGTGCAGCCGACAACTGAACAGCATTCTTTATCCTATTCTTTGGAAGATTTTACGAATCCGGGAACCTAGCAAATTTGTTGAGTATGCCAAAGTTTGGAAGAAGCGTGGTCAACAGATCTTTCCATTCGTCAAGACTGTTGTTTTTGGCCATGTCACCTCGTTTGACCTCACAGTGGAACACTTGATGAACCGATTCCGGTACGGGACAAACTGGAGGAAACATACCGCTATAATTGGCCAGTTCACTTCACTCCGGTCACTAATCTTTGTCTGTATTTCATTTCCGCGAAGATTCCCAGCCCTTCTTCATTCGTTGGTAAAGGTCGAAGAAGTTTGCTTCGTGCATTGCTGTTTCCATCCGTTGGTCGATTTCTCAGGCATCACCAGCGGTATTCGGACACTGGGATTGGAGATCGTTTGCTGGCATGGGCGCAGTAACAGCGTGGATTTGATACAACAGTTGGACTTGCAGTCTGTTGTAGTGGTTTGGAGGTCAACATTGGTTGCCGCGAGCATGGTCAGAAGCGTCTCAACCACAGTCAGGTCACTCACAATAAAGTCAGCTATGCGGTTGTGGCCATTGGACAGTGCACGCTCTACGGGGGACCGTATGAAGTTGGTGCAGTTCATCGCAGCGTTTCCAGAATTGAGGCAGTTGCGAGTTGAAGGCCCAATACCAAATCCCGCAGGAAATACAGCGTTCATCAGTCATGTTCCATTCCTTCGGGAATACTTTGGGCCTATGCATCTGTACAGCAGGCTCGGAGATCGACTTGAATCACTGAAAACGGTGCATTTCACAGATAGTCAGGTACCACTGACGATTCTTCATGACCATCTGCCGGTGATGAATGAGGTGACGGAGTTTACGTTGAGAGGCGTACTCACTGTGGACGAGGATTACTCCGAAATCTTAAATTGGTGCCCAAACATTGCAGCACTGATTATCCTAGGACCGGCATCGATCCCGGAATGGACAATGGTGCATACCAAATGTGACGGTGAGCATTGTATTCGCTGATTGGAATGACAGCTCAATATGAAAAGAGGTGTTCGTGGTTGCATGACTCTAGAACATGTGAAAGTTGGAGACCGACTTTGGCGATACCTTAGTGGTAATTGGATCTTACAGCATAGCGTGAATTAGTCGCAGGAGATGTAAGAAAATGATGAAATCAATGTCGTATCTGTTGTTGAACAAATGTCACGTATATTTGAGTATTCCGAAATAACCCGATCGTATTTCATAGAGGGAGGATAGGGGAACAAAGCCAGGTAGGGTCCGAAGCGTTTGTTTCAATGGGGCACCACATTTCGGAAGTGACGGATATTTGTACTTAAAGGCAACGAGAGCAGCAGCATATGTTAAGGGTGTCATGTCAATCTTGATCACAAAATTGGACCTCAATGAACCCAACTACCTGTATCAGTTGTAGTAAGTGGAGGTTTGTTTTGATCGATAGTTCGCGATTCATGTGTGGTATAGCTCACAGGGAATTCCAAACGTGTTCTTCGCTGGCTTGGATCACAACGACCTCGATAATTTCGGGGCGACATGTAAATGGGGACAAGATGAAAAGAATGCCTTCCTACGAAGGTCATTGAAGGTTGAACCAATCCTCGAACGATTCTTTTCTAGTGAGCAAATATGTGAATTCCATGACATGCAGGTGAGGGTGTCGGTAAAGTTCGTGGACTCACAACTAATGATGATGGAGTCGGCGATAGGGCTTCTTTTGTCTGGATCGGCAGGTTACCAGTTCTTCACGCGCGAAATGTATAACAGCGATCTGGACACGTACTGTGTCTTTGAGGCATGCGTCGTAGTTGGCCAGTGGTACCTGTCAGCGCAGTATATGTTCAGACCAAGAACGCACCAATTGCCTTCGTTCTCAGCCGACTTCGAACGCATGAAGGAGGCACAGGACGGCATAGGTGATGAAGACACTGATTACAATGATGCCAGTATCGTTCAGGTTTGGGACTTTGAGAATAGTACGTTGGAAAGGATTCAATTAATAGCAGCACGGCACAGCGCACTGGAAGTGATATTATCTTTTCATTCAAGTGAGTGTGCAAAGGCTGTATTTGGATCAGAAACATTGACCGTAATCTCAGCATGTGTGATGAACTTCATCTCCCATCGGGCTGCGTATTCGTTGTTTCCTCGTACAACTTTCAAACATAAAGCGATGCTGGTTGTTGACAACGGGAGAGAGACACCCGGGTCCAATGAAGGAGTGCAAAAATATGTCGAACGTGGGTTGAAAGTGATTCATTCGCCATCTGTCACACGGATTTTGGACACCACGTCAGATCTGGTGGCCGTCAGCCCAAGGTTTGTGAATGATTCGAGGACGTGGTGTGTGCCAATCGAATTTTGTGGGAGCACCGACCCTCAGCCAGATTTTGTGGAAGCGAATAGTTTCAAAATGGAGTATCACCATGAGACGAACAAGATTATATGGATGGCAATCACAGGGCCGGGATGTTAAGATCATGTACACCATGTAACCGTGCCAAGGCTACAAGGTGTCTAAGTGCGGAAGACGAGTGGGACAGTAGTGAAGTTATTAACAACACCGCCGTTACGCCGTTAGTCCCCGGAGATCGAGAGTAGAGAAGAGAGGAACTGAGAAGCAGCCAGGTCGGAGCGGCGGTATCGCCGGTGACGAGGAGCGAACCAGAGAACGTCTAAGTCCTAAGGTTATAGTAGAGAGTACTCCAAGGCGTTGAGCCTGAAGACTTAGAGAAGAGTTAAGTTGGAAAGGGAGATCTAAGTTGATAATTAAACTGAGGAACTACAGTAACGTACAGGCAGTATTTATATCTACGGAACGGCGCATTGGTGCGGAACACCAGACTAACTACTAGGAGCTATACGAGTAGTACCTGCAGGGTAGAGTAAAAGACAATAGTGAGAGACTAGAACGAAAGGGTATGTGTAGCGAGAAAGAACAATAAGAGTCAGATTACAATCAGAGCAGATCTTCGGAATACCGAGCGGCGGAATGGAGGCCCGCGGCATGGACTTGACAGTATCCCCCTCTTAGGCTTGAGCCCTCGAAAGCCATTAATACCGGGAGTTGGTTAGTCACCAAAGAAAAATTTTAAAGGCCATCAGCATCGGGAATTTGGCCCATCAGTCAGCAGGGAAATTTTCAATAGCCGTTGGTACCGGGAATTGGCATTAGTCATCAGTGAAAATTTTCGGTTCACCGTAAACCAAACACAATTCGAAGGAAAATTTTTGTTGGTCCGTGCGCCGTTTATGCCCTATAAAAGGCCCAGGGTTTTGCCGTTGAGGCCCTAACTTTTCCAAAATCCGCTAAGTCCATCAGCATGTCGACCAGCCGCACCATCACTACCACTAGCAACAAATCTTCTACCGCCGGACCTTTGAGGTCGCGACCGGCTCCTCCTCCACCCATTGACCTCACCGTTCCCGACGAGCCTGGAGAAGACGACGACGACGACGAGGCTATCCGGCGGGCGGAGGAGAAGGTCCGCCGGATGAAGGCAAGGAAGGCGGCGGCGGCGGCTAAGAAGAAAGCCGAGGAGGAGGCGGTCAGGAAGGCCGCAGAGGAGGCTCAGAGGAGGAAGAAAACAGCAGCGCGAGAGTTGGAGGAACGCCGGAGGAGGATGGCGGAGGCGGCTACCGCTCGTAGTCGACGTGGCTCCTCGCCCGGAGGAAGTTCGGTTTCCCCACAACGGCCGGTAGTGGAAATTCGAAAGGACAAAGGCAAAGGCAAAAGTAAAGGCCAGGTGAGTAACGAACCCCTAGACGTGAATCTCGTACTAATTTCCCTGTTTGTAGCCTGTTGGTGGGGACCCCGATGACGGCGGCGACGGGGACGATGACGACAATGACGAAGACGATAGAGCTCCCTGCAAACGATGCAGGAGCAAAAAGATCTCTTGCCAGATGCAGGCTGGTAAGAGGAGCTCTATCATTTGCAAACCCTGCCACGACGCAAAGGTACGGTGCTCGTACTCCGGGCGGCCCTCGACGGTGAAGCGAGAGGGGGGAGGAAATCCGCTTGGCGAGCGGATAGCTGTCCTTCAGAGCCAGATGGCTCAATTGCTCGCCGACAACCGTCAACTCCGAGACGGTCAGATCAAGGCGAATACGTACCATCGCCACATGGTCCGGAAGTTGGAGTGGTTAGTGACGGATGCCAACAGGAGAAGGAAGACGCCCCCTGAATTGCCGGAGGCCGGACCATCGGCGCCTTCGAAGAAGAGAAGGAGGGTAGCAGATAGTGATGAGGAGGAAGAAAAGGAGATTGAAGGGGAGATGGAAAAGGAGAGGGAAGAAGTGGAATTGGAGGAAGAAGAAGAAGAGGAGAACGACGAACCGGCGCCGAAGAAGGCCCGGTCGGACAAAGGGAAGGAGAAGGAGGTGTAGTGTAGCATATGGACATCGGACATCGGCCTTCGGCCCTTCTTGTAACTTCTTGTAGTCCTCTGCCTCCTGTATAATCTTGTTTTTTGGACTTTTGTATATAAAAAAATGTTCAGCGCAATTTTGAAGTCGGAAAGCGAATGGGCCGCGAAGCGGCATAAGAATTAATTAGTTTTGAAGTATAAGTAGCTTAAGTATAAGTGAAAATATAAGTGAACAGTGCATTGAAGAACAGGATAAACGATTAAGAGAAGGGGATAAATACTCAATTTGCTATCATCGTGTTTATCCTCTAAACGCACAAAGTAGACTTCGGCGGAAAACGGGGAAAGAAATAAAAGATAATTTTTTGTGATCAAGGTCCAGGCTTGTGAGGGTATCGGGCGTGGAACGCCGGTACAAGTTCATCAGCATGTAATTCATCAGCAGCAACCCAAGAGAACTCATCGTCGGTACCTTCATAACTGGCCCACCGAATATAGTAACGTAGAGGACAATGTTTATACCTTCTGTCCAGCTTGGAGTCCAGAATTTCGGCAACATTGTACTCCTCTTCACCATCAACTTCAATTGGAGGTGGAGGAGATTGAGTACGATTCGGGAACGGGTTCGGCGTGGTATCCTTTGTTAGCGAAGAATGGAGTAATACCAGTGGAAGCATTGGGAGCGTTGTTATAGGCGAACTCGGCGATCGGAAGTAAAGGCGACCAGTCATCCTGTTGGTAGGAGCAATAGATCCTGATGTACTGTTCGAGAGTCTGATTGACACGCTCAGTCTGCCCATTGGCTTCCGGATGATATCCAGAGGTATAGTGAAGTTCCATGGAGAGCGCTTTACCGAGAGCCCGGAAGAACGCCGAAACAAATTCGGAACCACGATCGGAAGTAACATGATTAGGAACACCATGCTTAGAGAAGACATGAATAACAAAAAGCTCAGCTAGTTGTTCGGAAGTAATGGTGTCGTGAGTTGGAATAAATATAGCTTGTTTGGAAGATCGATCCACGACGACGAGGATAGCTGTATAGCCATTCGACATTGGCAGTTGCTCAATGAAGTCCATAGAGATGGAGTCCCATGGTCGGACCGGAACCGGCAGAGGTTTCAACAAGCCGTAAGGCCGGTGACGGCGGGGCTTATTGCGACCACAGATAGTGCAAGAGGTAACGTAGTCACGAACAAAGTCTCTGACCTTGGGCCAGGTGTATTGACGACGTACAGCTTCGAGAGTGCGGTTCTGGCCGAAATGGCCGGAGAGTGGATGATCATGGAAGTAACGGAGGACTTGAAGGCGAAGGTCGCCGTGATTAGGAACATAAATACGGTCGTCAAGGCGTAGTAGCTTGTCACTACCTAAGCTCCAACGTTCATTGGAAGGATCTTTTGCAAGTTCCAAACCAACAACAGAGCTCGGATCAGCGGGAAGAGCGAGGATGATTGCTTGGTGTAGGGCTTCGATATCCATGATAATCGAGGCTCGTAAAACCGGACCTTCCAGGAAGGTAGCTCGAAGAGACGCAGTGAGTTGTTCGTTAGTAAAGATAGGGCAAAAGTTATGAGGGTTCACTTGGGCGTAGCCGATATCCCCCTCTTTAGGGTAGACGTCCCAGCGTCTAGTTATCGAATCAGGTTTCTCGCCGAGTTTCCCCGGTCAGAAGCGAATGACCATATTAAATTGATGTAAAAATTCAGACCATCGGACCTGTCGGCGTGTAAGAACCTTGGTAGTAGAGAAATACTCAAGATTCTTGTGATCGGTGACGACGTCCACCGGATCACCCAAGCCTTCCAGATAATGATGCCAAGCTTTAAAGGCCTCGAAGATGGCCAGAAGCTCTTTGTCGTGTGTATCGTAGTTGAGTTCAGCCGCGTGAAGCGTTCTGGAAAGGAAAGCTAGAGGATGAATTTCACCGTCAGCATATTGGATGGAAAGAATAGCCGCAATGGCGTAATCGGAAGCGTCAGTTTCCACGATAAGTGGGCGATTCGGCTCCCAATGGGCCAGTATCGGCGCAGAAGTAAAAGCAGTCTTGAGATTTTCGAAGGCCTCTTGACAGCTGCTGTCCCAGATCCAGGACGCGCCTTTTCGGGTAAGCCGAGTCATCGGCACAACGATATCGCTATAATTATAAATAAAACGATGATAGAAATTTGCGAAACCCAAGAAGGACTGAATGTCCTTAACCTTCCTCGGAACCGGCCACTCTAGAACTGTCTGAACTTTCTCCTTGGACATAGTCAATCCGTCGGGAGAAAGAATATAACCCAAATACTCAACAGTATCCATATTGAATTCGCACTTGTCGGGGTTGGCGTAAAGCCGATGTTTCCGTAACCGCCGAAGAACTTCCTTAACGTGTTCTCGGTGTTCTTCTGGCGTATCAGAGTAGATTAGAATATCATCCAGATAGACGATGACACAAACATCGAGCATGTCAGAGAAGATGTCATTAACAAACCGCTGGAAAGCCGCAGGGGCGTTCGTAAGGCCGAACGGCATAACCTTCCATTCGTAAGAGCCGTAACGGGTCCGAAAGGTGGTCTTCCATTCATCACCTTCAGCGATTCTGACCAGATGATAAGCGTGAGCGAGATCCAATTTGGTGTATATTTTAGCTCTTTTTGGAGCGTCGAGAAGATCTGATATGAGTGGGAGTGGGTAACGATCCTTTTTGGTGATACGATTGAGTCCACGGAAATCGACGCAAAGGCGAAGTTTGCCGTCTTTCTTCGGAACAAAAAGGACCGGAGCGCCGTGAGGAGAGGATGATGGGGTGATGGCACCAGTAGCCAGCTGTTTGTCAATAAAGTCTTTAAGGGCGACTAGCTCCTTTTCAGACAAAGGGTAGATACGGCCGAGAGGCGGCGAAGTGCCCTCTTCCAAGTCAATCTTCAAGTCGTAGGGTCTGTGTTCAGGAAGTGAATCTGCAGCAATCTCGTCGAAGACGTCTGCGAACTCTGCGTACTCTTCTGGGATAGAAGGATGGAGTGGAGGGACAGTAGGAGTGGTGGAAGAGTGGTCGGCGGCACGGGCCGCGACCTCTGAGTGGATAGCACGAAGTAAGATGGGTTCCATACCAGCGTCCTTG